ACGTGGGAAGCAAGGCATGGAACGAGCGGTACCTCGAGTATGAGTGGAACGGGCATGAGTTCGGTGAGAAGCGACAACGTCATCTACCCGGTTACCTGAACACCGTGGAGAAGAGGTGTGAAATGATACGCAATAAGGTATTCGAACGCTTCGATCGCAAGGTATCACAGGGACGCTTGAGTGATGTTATCGTTTCGTCACTCGGATATGCACTCACGTACTATCACACTGTGGAGGGAGATATGTACAAGGAATGGATGAATGAGAAGCGCACCAAGAAGGACTTCCGCCTCGATGAGAAAAAAATCAATCATTGTTGTTTCACTTACCTGATGATAACAGTAAAAAGGAAGTGGAACCGATCAACCTCATATTCGATGAAAGCAGTGAGTTCAATGACATCGTGAAGAAGTACATCCTCAACGGCCTGCGTGAGTACAACCAGTGCTTCATCACCATCATGGCATACAACCTCATGTGGACACATGCCGGGGAAACTAAGATAATTAACCTCACCGATGATCGCCTTGGACATCTACGTTTTGTGCGTCGAGACCGTATCGATTAATGGATCGAGGACTACCTGAAGTAATACAGAAATGCCGTGGAGGAACAGGAAACCGAAGGAAGTAGATTCGTTTATCTTGGATAGATCGGTTTCCATGTCGAGATGTTCCCACTTCGTACATTCGTGGGTTACAGACATCCATCACCGTTCGTTTTGGGGCGTACAGTGGTCAATCATAACATTGATGACAACCGGTGCCTGCAACGGTGCCTCATTCTGGCGAGTGAAGGCAGACACAAATCGTCGCGAATCGCAAGATAGGCGATGAAACCGTGTACAACAAGTGGTAGAAGCAACCTGACAAGTACAAAATATATATGCTCACGTTTCATAAAGTGGAAAAAACGATGATCATTCGCGATAATACACCCTTCGATGTGAATGAAGAGAAATTCGCCGCATTAAAAGCATTGTTGAAAGTAACACTCAACGTATTCGAGGTCACACTCTTACCTGGATACAGAGATAATGCAATGGAGCAATTCGATCTATTCACATCTGAACAAGTATACACTGGTAAAGAGTGAACAGACAATTCATCCTTATGCATATTAAACGATCATAATCTACCACAACATAAAGCCAAGCATTTCTCGCACATCAAGGACTTGAGCGATTTCAAGCATCGCATGACACGACAGAGTGATGTGAAGAATAGAAACACGACAAGAAACGCGAAGTGCAAGTTCTGTGACTTCTTCGGTTCTATCACCTCTGTGCATGCACATGAGGTACGTGCATATCGTGAACTAGTCAATGAGAGCGAAGAGTACGACTTGGTAAACGAGAAGATTCGGTTACGATTCACAAACCAGCGATATGAAATGCCAGCACCTGATATCATGTACGCTGACTTCGAGTCAGCCATTGATGACGAGAACAGACACAAGCCAATCATGTTGTCCTGTCTAGCCGTGTCTCGTATCCCTGCCATCCAGACTCAACTGAGAGTCTTTCATGCACCACACGAAAGCGAAGAAGAGCTTCGTCCTATCATGGAGTATCTCATGCAATTGCAAGAGAACATGAATAATTATCTCTTTGGCGAATTACCACTGGAACTAACGCCTACGATCGACAGAGATTATCGATCCACAATTATATGTCCATTCCGCCATGTGGAATTGAAGGAAGACAAGGTAAGATATCATGCACATGTGGCAGGTGAATACACCACAGGAAATGGAGAGGTACACCACTTCAAAGCCGGGCAGTACATATGCACCTGTTGTACCAAGTGCAATCTACAACTCTCCTTCAACAAGAAGAACTATCGATTACCAGTCTACTTTCACAATGGATCTCACTACGATTTCACGTTCATCACGAAATTCATCGCGGCTATCCCCTGCAGGAACCTCGAAGTAATTCTAACCACCGAGGACAAGGAAATGCAGATCGAGTACAATGGCATTCAGTTCAAGGACTCGTTGAAGCTCATCAGCAGTTCTCTCAGATCGACTGTGGAACAGAGACTTGAAGATCATTTTAGATCTCTACGTGAATACTAAAGAACAATGATGTGAGTATTGTGAATTTCGAGGAAAGCAGAGGAGTGACGAATACATCGATTTGTTGATACGGAAAGAACCCATGTTCTATAGTCTTATCAAGTCGTACGAGTCATTGAACAATACAGTCATTCCTTCTCGCGAGCAATGCATTGATGATATGAAGGGAGAGATAGTGCCCCAAGACGAGTATGATCTCATGGTGAAGTTGTGGAAGACCTTCGATATCAAGACATGGGGTGAATACTACGAATTGTACAATGTACTCGATGTAACTCTCATGGCTGATGCATTCGAACACTTCCGAAATACTACATTGAAGGCATTCGGTGTTGATCCCATGCATTACATCACAGCACCGCAAATGGCCTATTCGCTCTTCTTGAAGGTGACAATGGAAGGCGATCATGGCAAAAATGTGTTGAAGACATTAAGTGAGAAGTGGGCACATTATATCACTCGCATCAATGCCAATGAGGAACTTGCCGAGAAACAACTCGTGAAAGTGTTCTTGAATCGTATGGGTGAGTATTATGCTAGCAAGGGCATTCGATTGATGGAAACAAATGATATCGATGACTTCATGCGATTGTTGAAGAACCTGCGAGGAGGTATCACACAGATCGTGAAACGACATGCCAAGGTTGACATTGACAACAAGGAGCAAACAACGTCGTCCCAAGGCATCTACTACCTGGACGCCAACAACCTGTATGGTGGAGCCATGCATCGCATGATGCCTTATGAGTTGGTGGGTGTACCTGAGCGACGAGAAGTGATGGAGAAGATCAATCGTGATCCGAATGGGTGGGTGCAATCACTCAAGACGTTCGGTAAGTATGGATTCTTTATCGAGTATGATATCGAGGCACCAGTGGAGCTGCACAACAAGTTCAATGATCTGCCATTCTTCCCCGTACAGAAGGCAGGTATGTATTCTGATGGAATCAAGAAGTACGCTGAGAAGAACGACATTGTGGACAAAGTGAAAGAGGTGAATACACCGAAGCTCATCTGCGATCTTGTGCCTCGTTGCAAGTATCTCGTGCATTACTCACTGTTGCAACTGGGCATTCAACAGGGTTATCGTGTCACGCACATTCACCACATCATTCGTTTCAAGCAGGCACCATTCATATTCGAATATGTGAACATGCTGAGTGAGAAACGAGCCAAGTCCAAGACCACTGTGGAGAAGAACCTGTACAAGCTGTTGGCAAACTCGACCTATGGCAAATTCGTGGAGACTGGGCTGAAACGAATGAAAGTGAAGTTCGCTAACACATGAAATGAACGTGAAGCCATCATTCAGAAGCATGGGTACGACATGATCGCTGGGACTACCATGTATTCCGAGAATCTCATCGGTATCAAGCTGAATACACCGGTGAGAAAGGTGGTGAAGCCATTCTTCATCGGGTTCGCCATTCTCGACATGTCCAAACACATCATATACGATTTCTACTACAATGTGCTCAAGACGACGTTTGATAACGTGGAATTGTTGGGACAGGACACGGATTCACTCATCGTGCAACTGCACGATCGCGCTAACATCGTTCACAAGATGTGTGACATGTACAAGTCGTTCGACTTCTCGGAATTGGATAACACGAGCTACTTCTATGGTGAACTCGTGAAGTATTACGAGCATGAAAAGGATAAGAATAAGTTCCCTTCATTGGACTCGTTCCTCAATTTCAACAAGAAGTTGCCTGGCCCCATTTTCAAGGACGAGCACAACGGACATCGCATTACAGAGTTCGTGGGACTGAGACCGAAGATGTACTGTCTGGTTGATGAGAAGCATGTGATACACAATGCAGCAAAGGGAGTTCCTCGCAATGTCGTGATTGATGGTGAGAGAATGAGTGTGAAGAACATCGATTTGGTCAAGCCTGTACTCGAAACAGAAAAGAAAGGAGATGCAGTGATCGAAGGCAGCTTCAAACGTATCAACAATTAAAGATTCGATATCATAACGAAGGAAAAAACAAAGACACTCATGACTTGCACGGATAACAAGCGACGGATCTTGGACGACAACGTACACACACTCGCCTTCAAACATTACCGATTATAGGACATGTAGAGGAGGATTTGTTTTCACTTTGTTTATGTAGCGTGTTCAGCTTTCTCTTTGTTTTCGTTTCCATGTAGTGTGTATAGAGAGATAGGTACTATTCCTTGAGAGTAGTATGTAATTGGCGCACAACCTTGTTTGAAATAGTTTGCCAGCATGTGTGCACAGGAAACACGCGGACAAGCAAGCGGCCACGGGTGGAAAAGGTGGCCAAAAGGATTTCCGCGCGATGTGCGCCATTTACATACTCATTATGTACATGGCCGCTCGCCTTTTAATGATTTCTTCATGTGTAGTGCTGATCCTTGGACGATAGGACATTCACCAAAGAACATTTGTAACATATTCAAATATTTATGTCAAACTCGATTGGTCCCCGCGTTATTTAGTCATCTACGAAACGCAAGCTGTGTTTGGTTCTGTGTTCTTATGTAATACTTTTGTTTTTGTTTTTATTTTCAGATTCTTAAATGGAATGCCGTGAATAATATTATGTCATCAGCAAATTGTGCAAGTGATACAATAGTTGAACCAACCATGGTTACCTGATACAAGCAGTGCCCATGCATCAGCAAGTTCCATACCTAGCAGAATTCAATAATAGAAAAGAAATAGCAACGTTTTTCCCCACTATCACTATTCACCGATGAAACTCCCTCTCTGTGACCCAATTTCAGCCATGGCTGTTCTTTCTTTTTAGTACATTTCCAACAGTTTTATTCAAGGTTATATAACCTGGTATTCATTTGCAACTGCCTTTGTGTTATAGGGGCTAATATGCGAAAACGGCCCAATAACACCCAGATCAGATTGCAATACCATAATAATTTTGTAAGACATGCAATTCATTCTATTTGGAGTTTGTAGGGTGAAAGGACGCTATTCTCATGCATAGTAGTACTGGCGGTTGTTTCAGCTGGCTGCCTTGATCCGAACGCGAAAGTGCCTGAACTTGTTAAAACTGCTCAGCCCTACACATTTTTAGGTGATGAGGTTCTTCCCAAGTCCTATGATCCGTAAGACTAGATAGAGTTATTAAAGATTAGTCGCGATATTGATGGTCGCAATTACGTAACGGTAACAAAGAACCAGCATATTCCCCAATATTGTGGTTCTTGCTGGTCTTTCGCTTCTGTGTCTTCTGTGTCGGATCGACTGAAGTTAATGACGAAGGGAAAGTGGCCTGTTCATGATTTGTCTCCTCAGGTGATTCTTAACTGTGATCACAACTCTAATGGTTGCCAGGGCGGTCATCCTCTTACGGCTTTCAAGTACATGCACGACCATGGTGTTCCTGAAGAAGGATGCATGCGTTACATGGCTAAAAACATGGAGTGTACTGACATCAACATTTGCCGTGACTGTGACTCCGAGAAGGGATGTTTTGCAGTGAAGAACTACACAAAGTACTATGTGGATGAGTATGGAAGTGTTGCTGGCGAGAAGAATATGATGAAAGAGATTTATGCTCGTGGTCCTATTACCTGCTCGATTGCGGTTCCCGATGATTTGATGGAGTACAAGGGCGGAATCTACAGAGATACTACTGGAGCGAAAACGCTCGATCATGCCATTTCTGTGGTTGGATGGGGCGAAGAAGACGGTCAGAAATACTGGATCGCTCGTAATTCGTGGGGTACTTTCTGGGGCGAGAAGGGCTGGTTCCGCATTGTGCGTGGCGAGAACAATTTGGGCATTGAAGCGGATTGTCAGTGGGCTGTGCCGCGTGTACCGGAAGAAATGATTCTGAACGACCAAATGCGTTCGCAGCGAAATCGTGCTCGCTACTTCCCTCGCTCCTGCTTGTTGAAGGATGCGAATAGAATGAAGGAGCACGTTGTGTCTCCGAGACCGCACACCTACATCAAGAGCGAGGATATCCCGAAGAACTACGATATTCGCAACATCGATGGCGTGAACTACGCGACGTGGGACAAGAACCAGCACATTCCTCAGTACTGCGGATCGTGCTGGGCGCAGGCTCCGACTTCGGCGCTGTCGGATCGTATCAACCTGATGCGTAAGGGCAAGTGGCCCACTGTGGAGCTGTCTGCACAGGAAGTCATCAACTGCAGCAATGCTGGAACCTGCGATGGTGGTTCGGATGCTGATGTGTTTGAATATGCTTTTAATGAGGGTATTCCGGATCAGACTTGCCAGGTGTACGAGGCAATCGACAAGGAATGCAATGACATGGCTCGCTGCATGGACTGCCCGCCCGGCGAAGACTGCTATCCTGTCAAGGACTATAAGCGATACAAGGTATCGGAGTATGGAGAAGTGAAGGGAGAAATGGAAATTAAGGCAGAGATCTTCGCGCGTGGACCCGTGTCTTGCTCGATGATTGTCACGGAGGAGTTTTTGGCTTATCAGGGAGGCATTTTTGTGGACGACAGAGGCCATATCGTCGGTTATCATGCTGTGGAGGTTGCTGGCTGGGGCGAGACGGAGGATGGAACGAAATACTGGATTGCCCGTAATTCCTGGGGTCCCTACTGGGGAGAGCATGGCTGGTTCCGTATGATCGTTGGCGTGTCGAAGGGATTGATCACTGGCTATTGCAATTGGGGAGTTCCCGTTATCGATTTCTGAAGTGTTTGTTGAATCAAACAGATGATTGATTACATGGATACTGTTTCACATAAAGTCTCTTTGACGGCCTTCACCGTTTTTTCTATTTCCGTCTCCTCATGGTCAGCACTGATGAAGAATCGGAGGCGAGCATTTCCACTTTCCACAGCGGGGTACATGCCAGCGCTGACTAGTACCCCCTTTTCTCGTAATCTACGCATCATCTCGATACATCGTTCTGTAGAACCACACTTCACTGGGATGACGGCGCTCTGACTCTTCATGGAGTCATAAATATCGATCTTGTTTTCATTACATAACCGCTTGAAGAGATCTGTGCGTTGGTGCAGCTTTGAGATTCTCCAAGGCTCGTTCTTCAGGGTATCAATAGCTGCTAAGGCGGACGCAGCGTTGGGAGGAGGCATTCCGATTGAATACACAAATCCAGGGGCTCGATATCGCAGAATCTCAATAGCCACGGCCGATCCAGCGACATAGCCTCCAGCACTTGCGAACGCCTTTCCCAGAGAACCCATCCACAGATCCACTTGCGTCATGTCAATCCCAAAATGCTCTCCGATTCCACGTCCTGTGGCTCCTAATACGCCAATGCTGTGTGCCTCGTCAACATACAGAATGCAGTTAAATCGCTGCTTCACCTTGATGATGGCAGGGAGGTCTGGAATGTCGCCATCCATGCTGTAAACGCCTTCAATGCAAATCAGCACTTTCTCATAACTGCCTCGGTGATCGCATAGAATGCGTTGAAGGTCTTCCACATCATTATGTCTAAACGCCATTCGATCTGCTCCTGAATATACCGCACCTTCGATAATCGAATTGTGGGCAAGCTCGTCGTATAAAATGAGATCTCTCTTGTTCATCAGACATTTCAGTGTGTTCACATTGCAAGTGTGGCCACCCAGCATCACAATGCAGCTCTCAACTCCCAAAAACGAAGCTATTTTCTGTTCCAATTGCTGGTGGAGCGGAATCTGACCTCCTGCCAGCCGACTTGCAGAAACAGAGGTTCCATACTTTTCGATGGCCTTTTGAGAAGCTTCCTTCACCGCTTTTGAGCCACAGAGTCCCAGATAGTCATACGTGGTGTAGTTTATACACTCTGGGAATCCATCAATCGCTGAAATAGTCGCCGTTTTCTTATCCTGCGTGAAGAAATAGGGGTTCCACGGGAGTTGGTTCAAATAGATCTTGGTCTCGAGAGCTTCACGCGTTGTCAGCCAATCGAACTTCTCTGCAAAGTCCGTCTTCACTTGTGTGTGGATCTTCATCTTTTTGATCAAGTTTAAGACATCCGATTCGAGACTATCACCCACTCCAGAATACCCAGTAACATCCTCCTTTCGCTGGATGAGCTTCACTAATTCAGATTGCGAGAAGAGAGTTTGCTCTTGAACCTGAACTTGACTGTGGGATGACAAAACATCCAGAGTGTTTTGCTTCTCAACGTGGTTGATAATTGTTGTAACTAAATCGCCAATGTTCTTTCCGCTCGTCAATTCGAATACCGGAAGATTCATTATCCACTGCATATCTAATCTATTCTTGAGTTCTACTGCAAGGATGCTGTCAATTCCAAGAGATGCCAGTGATTGATCAAGCTTCAGAGTCGTTGGATCTGCGCCCAATATCGTAGACAGATCCTGCTTCAGAGAAGAAATGATCGCTTCCTGTCGCTCTTCAGGAGATAACTGAATGATGTGATGAAGCATTGCGTCTGTTTTCACAGACGATGCAGCATACGACCACTTCAGGGTTCGCACAATCGGCAAGTCGCCCATTTGATTCATGCTGGTGTCAAACGGGAAGACGACCAACTGTTGAGGCGATTCCACATTCGAAGTTGTAATTGTTTCTTGTCCGTGAACTGCGTGCGTCTGGACCGTTAGATGGGATTGAGTCTGCGCAACGACTTCCACCGCTTTGAGGACGTCCTTCTTGCTGATCATCTGCGCATGGAGCGATGCATTTAGAATGCTGCCATCACGAGCAACAGCGCCTGCATCATACACACCACCCAGATTCAACACTGTGCCACAAAGTCCCTGCGCTCGACGATGACTAATCAATCCCTCCAGAGCCGTGTTTCCAATACAGTAATTGGACTGCCCCAAATTTCCAATAATCGCTGAGATGGAAGAAAAGACAATGAACAGATCCAGAGAGCAGTTATGGGAAACGGAATAGTTGTGAAGATTCCAGCCTACAGAGATTTTGGAGGACAGCGATGTCTTAATATCCTCGTCCGTGAGCGAACTCATCAGTCCATCGCGCAGCACCATCGCCGAATGAATCATTCCAACGAGAGGAGGACGTGTGGCCAGCCACGTGTCCAGACACCTTGTTAATTCTTTTTCGTTACACGCATTGCACTTCTCCACGCAGATATCACCACATCGGTTCTTCATACTGTTGAATTGGAGTTGATCCTCGCTGTGAATCGTACCGGAACGACTTAACAAGAGAATGTGCCTCGCGCCATGCTCTGTCATCCATTTAGCGATGTTGAGGCCTAATCCTCCCGTGCCTCCTACAATCACATAGCTGCCTTCGCTGCGGAACAACTGGCTTGGCTTGAAAGGAATTTGATGGCAGGAGGAAATCAGAGTTCCATCATCTTCTCGTAGTTGCAGGAGTATCTTTCCTAGGTGTTTGGCAGCCGATAGTTTTCGAATCGCCTGACCGATGTTCTTCAGCGTAAACACTTCGTTGGGAGGCGGATGAATATCTCCATTTGAAACAGCCTTGATCATCGATTTGATCCATCCCACGCAAATGTCTCGCTTGGCGAAATAACGATCCATATCAAAGAAGATGTAGGTGCCATTGTTCAGCAGATTGTGAATGTTGATTCGGTGGCGAGCAATCGCATCCGTTTTGCCAATTTCGATAAACGTACCGAATGGAGCGAGCAATCGCAGTGACTCTTGCATAAATCGGCCAGAAAGGCAATTCAACACCAAATCGACTCCTGTGTGATTCGTAATCTCCATGATTTCGGTCGCAAAAGTACACGAGCGAGAATTCAGCACGTAATCAGCGCCCAACGAGCGGACGTACTCCTCTTTCTTCTTGTTTGAGCATGTGGCGATCACCGTTGCTCCTGCCGTATGCGCAAATTGGATGGCCGCTGAGCCAACGCCTCCTGCAGCTCCATGGATCAGCACCTTCATTCCAGGCTTGACCTTTCCCAGCGAAACAACCGTCGCATAGGCGGTGGTATACGCGACAAACAGCGAAGCTGCTTCTTTCATGGACACATTCGCAGGCTTGTGTGCTGTAAAGCACGCTTCGGTGACTGTGCGAGTAGCCAGTCCATGGTCAAGAAGACACAGCACTTCATCTCCCACCTTGAATTCGGTCACATTCTTTCCAACCGCTTCGACCACTCCAGAAGCTTCTAATCCGATCTGTACGCCCGATCGTCCTCCGGCAAATGCATCTTCCTTCAGCAGTCCAACAGCAATCATCACATCTTTGTAATTGAGACCCACGTAATGAACTCGCACCGTCACATCCTCATCGGTCATCGGACGCGTCTGTAACTCCGTGCGGTTGAAACTATCCAGTGAGCCTTCCTGCGACTGAATAAGAGACCAGCAATCATTGTCAGGCTCGTGATAGTGCGGAGTTTGTATGGTGGTAGTGGAGACTTGGGGCTCATACCAAGTGTTGTTGCGGAGAATGAGCTCGTGGTATCCTTCATAGGTTTGCAAGCTAAAAAGCAGCTGGGTGGCTTCATCCCAGACAGCTGGAGAAGGAAGATCCACGAGCCATAAGTTGAGAGAGGGAGCTTCTGTGTGGAGCGCTCGAGCGAAACCAACAAGAGAGGTGTTTTCTGGATGCTGCGTATCTAAGCAAGCTCCATGCGTAATGATAAGAAGAGGAGGGAGAGACACCTCTTTCTGGCAGCATTGGAGCAACGAGCGAGCGAAAGGATAGATGGTGTGCTCATATTCGTCAATCATAGAATCACTCTTCAAGTCGATCGTCCAAATCCAGATCTGATTCGTCCATTCCTGCTTTTTATCCGGCGATTCCTGAATTTGCTGCAAGTACTCTCTTGTAATCACCGGATAGGAATCACAACAAAACATGGACGAATCGAAACACGACACTTGCTTCGATTCAGTACCCTTGGATAGAGAGACTTCACAGTACTTCATATCGTGAATCAGTTGTTTTTCCACTGGATGACTTAACGGCGTGACTTGCACTCCTTGGCAAGCCACCAAACAGACATCTCCCTTCATCAACCAGATATCGCCACAATTGGAGATACCTTTAATGTTCGATTTCTTCACAAACACCTGAATCTCTTCTTCCTTTTCAGCCTCCTCCTCTCCTTTTCCATCATCCCTCATACCATAGAAATTGAGGAACCGGATTGCAATCGGAATACAGCCACCAATCTCGTCACTTAGCAGAGAGATGAGAGATTGGAAAATCGTATCTAATAGAACAGGATGGATTTTGTACTTCTTTCCCGTTCCTTTACTCCCAAGAACATCTGGACGCACAGTGCAAACGCCCTGATCCTGACCGACCTGCACTTTTTGCAGTGTCTTGAACTCCGGTCCGAACTGCAATCCCTGCACGAACATGTGATGATAGAGCGAATCCACCGATAAGGACGAAGTGCAGTCATGCTTTGTCACTTCGGCGACCTCCCTTGCCTGCGTTCGAAGCAGAGAATCGGTTTCGGGATGCGCGAAGCAACGGAAATGGCAAGTCCACCGTCTTGACTCATCCTCCGTAAAGGATCTTGTCACATCTTCGGGCTCGTCTCGATGATAAATCAGCACCTCGCCAGTCTCCGGATCCATAGTCGTTCGAATCTGCACATGTCCCTTCTCGGGAAGAACAAACGCCTGCATGAAGCAGCAGTCTGTCAGAGAACATGTCTTCGTTCCATACACAACACATCCAGCTGCCAGGGCTGTGTCCAGATACAACGCTCCAGGGGCTAAGCAAGAGCCAGATATCATGTGGTCATGCAACCATTCCATTTCCTCCATCTGAAGATCGATTTCCCACGTGGGCTGCGGAGCAATCTGCGGAATGCCCAGAATCGGATGGTCAACTCGAGGATAGCGGAAACGGAACGAATGCTCCGAATCGACCCACAACGTCTTCCGCTCGAAAGGATAGTGCGGTATATCCGACCTCCACGGCAATAGAGAGGTGTGCAAGAGGGAGGCGGACAGACTATCACTGGAAGGAATCGTGGATTTCATGATGGAGGCACTCGTGACCGTCAAGTCCTGAGCACATCCTTGAAGAACTCGCTCTGTTAAGATCGTGTGGGTTCCGGCAGTTTCAAGACCCACCAAGCAGTTCATCAAGGCTGTAACACCGCTCATTCGTCTGTCCAGAGTGCCGAAACAACGGCTTTTCATCCCTTCGATTCCGTTTAAGCACTGAAGAATCGGGCGCTGAAGTGTCGGATGGGGACCCACCTCGACAATGACTGTGTGGGGAGAAACGACGCTCAAGGCCTTCAACGCATCAGGGAAAAGCACTGGATGCGTTAGATTATTCACAAAATAGTCAGCATTGAGCTTCGAACCATCGACAATTTCGCATCCCTTCAACGAAGAGAAAAAGTGGCAAGATAGAGGCTTTCCCTCGATTGAACGAATGGCTTCGCGGTATTTCGGCATGGCGGCCATCATGTGAGGAGAATGGAACGCATGCGTCACCACCAACTTGCGTGCAAAGTGACCATCCGCCTTCAACTCTGAACAAAGCTGATCAATCTCCGCAATATCTCCAGAGACCGTCAATGCTGTGGGACTGTTGTAGCAAGCGATCACCAAATGCTCATACTTCGTCAGATAGGGAGCCAGCGCTTCGGCCGTCAGTCCCACAGCCGCCATTCCTCCCTTGTCTCCAGAGAGATCCGAGATCGTCGATCCACGATAGTACGCCAGTTTCATCGCCTCTTCCAGCGTTACAGCTCCCGCCACATACGCAGCCGCGATTTCTCCCGAGCTGTGGCCAGTCACAGCGGTGGGAACCACTCCCCACACCTTCAGCTGCTCCACGAGTGCAATCTGAACGGCCGTTGTGGCGGGCTGAGAAATCCGAGTCGTGTTCACCTCCTTCGAGTTGATCTTGTCCAATAAGCTCCATCCGCCCAGCTTTCGAACAATGGCGTCGCACTGCTTCATCACCGAAGCGTAGACAGGGAAGGACGACATGCAGTCCGAGCCCATCGTCATCCACTGGGATCCCTGTCCGCAGAACACAAAGGCGACCGGTCTGGACGAATGGTCGAGCGCGCTGCTATGATGCACAGCGGAAGTAGCATCTCCCGTCGCATATTTCTGCAACTCCGACGCGATCGTGTCGGCCGTTCCAGCAATCCCAGCGCGCTCAGCAAGCAAGGTTCGATGATACATCAGCGTGTTGCACAGCGTTTGGTGCGATTCGGGAGTCGGATTGCGCGTCCATTGCTCGGCCAGCTGCGACGCAATCGAACGCAGCGAAGCCTCCGTCTTCCCCGACCAGAGCAGCGTGTAAATGCATCGGTCATCCTCCGGTAGTTTGGGGATCGGACTCAGCACACAGCAGGCAGGAGGCTGCTCCAAGATAAAGCAGGCGTTTGTGCCTCCGATTCCAAAGGAACTCACCACAACACGTCTGGGGAATTCTGACTTTTCCGGGAACTTCTGCGCATCCAGAGGGAGCTGCAGCTGCCAGTCGTCCCAGTGAATATTGGTGTTGGGCTCTTGCACCTTGATCGTTGCTGGGATCTCGCCCTTGTACACACACAGCGCGCCTTTGATCAGCGAAGCCACGCCCGCAGCTCCCTCCATGTGGCCAAAATTCGACTTGAGCGAGCCAATCAGCAGGCGATGGGGCCGTTTCTTTTTGCACAGAGCAGCACTGATCGCGCTGGCCTCTGTTTTGTCTCCCGCCACAGTTCCCGTGCCGTGCGCCTCCACGTAGGTGATTGAATTCGGATCGGTGTCGGACTCCTTGCAGACCTTTTCTAAAAGCAATTGTTGAGTGAAAGCGCGAGGATTTGTAATGGCAGCCTTGGCTCCATCATGATTCACGCCGCAGCCTCGAATCACAGCGTACACGCGATCTCCAGAAGCCATCGCATCCGAGAGCTTCTTTAAAACGACGATCCCAGCGCCTTCGCTTCGCACATATCCATTTCCGCGACTGTCGAACGAAAAACAGTGGCCGTCGGGGGACATCGTGCCCCAGTCTGTGAAGCCCACAAAGTAGCGAGGGTCGAGAAGAGCGTTGGCTCCGCCAGCTAACGCCCATCGACATTCGCCCTCTTGGATGGCTCGCACAGCTCCGTGAATAGCTACCAAAGAGGAAGAGCAGGCAGTGTTATAGGTAATTGAGGGACCGGTGAGATTGAAAAAGTAGGACAATCGGTTAGAAGCCATCGTTTCCGCATTTCCTTGCATGCAGTGCGAATTGATCAAGTAGCGAGATCCACTTAGTACCTCCATATAGTCCTATGGATGACTTGACATTTTGGCGGGTACGTGCGTCATGTGTCCAATGAACACGCCTCCGACTCCACATGTATTGTCCAGCGAGCACCCTGCATCTTCGAGCGCGAACCATGCAGTTTCAAGGAGAAGGCGTATCTGGGGATCTAATTCTCGTGCTTCATTTGCACTCAAGTTGAAAAAGGGGGCGTCAAAGTCTCTAATATTATCTATAAATCCTCCTCGGTGCGAAATCTACAAATGAGAAGTATCGAAATCACATCCTACGGAACTTCCCTTTATTTTGTGGGTGCTACACCAGAACTCGGGATTGAAGCGCTCTTTCGGAATGTCTCTTGTCATGTCTCTCTTCTCCTCCAGGAGTTTCCAAAAGGTCTCAATGTCATCAGCTTCAGGAACTCGCATTCCCATACCAACGATAGCAACGGGATCATTGTCTAATGTCATTGTGCATAAATATTATTTGTCATTTCGTGACTCTTCTCAAAATTGACATGTATGCGAAGAAAGAGGTTTTCATCTCGCAAACCACTCTCCAGAGACTGTCATCGAAACAAACAAGCGTTACATGAAATCGTCTTCATACTGTTTTGAAGCACTCACATCTCCAGATTTCGTCATGAGATCATTATAGCTCATTAGCTCTGTGTGTTCAAAGATCCGACTATTCATCACAAACGTACAAAACACTCACTCGTAGCTGAGTTCCTCTTGTCGTCTCTTATTTGCCTCCATTTCTTCCTTTTCTCTTATTCTCTGCTCCTTGAACGCCTTCTTCTTCTCTCGCAACTCGTTCGCGTCACGATCCGCTCTCTCCTTCCGGAAATCGGGATTTCCCTCCACCTTTGTCTTCTCGATGCGGTTGACAATCAGGCGATCACGCGACACGCCAATCTTCTTTCTCACATCCTTCTGGTTGTGGAAACCGATCGTACCTGTGTCCATCGTCTGGTCTTTGCGCAGGTTGCTCCAGTATGTATACACCTAGACTGAGAGAGCACCACAGTTCCTACAATGTTCACCTTTGGCATCTTGCAACCAGAAATGGAGTGGTTCTACACACTAGAGTCCACAAGAACGTAGTACCTTCACCAGTTGGAACACATCTTCCAATGTTTCCTCTGGGATATCTTCAATGGTTTCTCCCTACATCGAAGCATTTCGTAGATAGAAACGGGGTTTAGACGGATGTAAACGTGGGCAGAAGAGACATCGTCAACGTGGAACCTAAAACAAGGTTAGACAGGAACGGTGCAAAGAGAAACCTACCACACATCCTCTGGCCATCCGTATGCGATCAAATCTTCGTTCTCGTACTTATCCCGTCCCATGAAGCATTTGTAGCCACCTAGTCATTACCCAGAGAGGCGCAGTATGGGTACCTCGCACCGTGTAGTAAAACACCATTTCAAACAAAAATGAATTGAACAAACAGACAAAGCACCAAATCAACAGTCAACAGCAACATCCTTAAGCCAGAATCTCGTAAGGAAGCACGAACACGGTCTTAATGGGCTTGGTGGGAACCACAGTGTGAGCAGCACGAGGCTGAGCAGGCAGGCGCTTCAGGCACACCTTCTCGGCTCTCTTCTCGGCCTTGATGGCTTCGTTCTGCTTCACACGGTCCAGATGCTGCTTTCTGCACTTGGAAGGCAGGACATGCTCGACCTTCACGTGGATTCTCTTCTTGATGATGCGGTTTCTCACCTGCTTGTTCACCTCCACACCCACAGCGGTCTTGGTGACATCAAAAACGACTCCAGTGCGTCCGTGGTAACCCTTGAAAGGCATACCCTTGTGAACAGCTCCGTTGGCCACAATATCGACGTAGTCACCTACGTGATAGCAGCGCATGTTCGTAGACAGAGGAACTACTCCGTGGTTGCGGAAAGCTCTCTTGAACATGTAACGAGTACGGGCACGATATCCATTAGCGTGAGGCATTGTCTACACAATTCGTTAGAATCACTGCTCTCCTCATTACGCAAAACCAAGGAAGGGCACTCGAATTCGATTCCTGATTGCTCTTCCCTCTTGCAAAAACGCATGGCACGCAAATGATACTTACATTCTATTTCTTGGTGCGAAATTTCTGTAATCTCAAAGCAATGAAAGAAGGAACCCAGGGGGTACCGGGTTTCCTCTATTTGATCCCTATATAATTCTCGATTTCTGTCACCCCCTTAATTTAACAAACACGCCAAGAAACTGTAGTTACAAATAGTTTAGGCCTTTCCTGCCGCCTTCATCAGTCCATAAATCGCCTCTCCGATCTGCGCCGGGGTGTCCACCACCTTGATTCCCACCGCAGTCATCGCCTCCATCTTCGCCTTCGCCGTTCCCTTTCCTCCCGAAATGATCGCTCCCGCGTGCCCCATGCGGCGACCCGGCGGCGCCGTGCGTCCGGCAATGAATCCCACCACCGGCTTGGACGGGTCTCCGTACTGCTTCAGCCACTCCGCAGCGTCCTCCTCCGCCGTGCCGCCGATCTCGCCGATCATCACGATGCCCTCCGTCTGCGGATCGTTCGTGAAGCGCTCCAGACAGTCGATGAAGTTCGTACCGTTGAACGGATCGCCGCCGATGCCCACCACCGTCGACTGACCCAGACCGTACTTCGTCGTCTGCGCCACCGCCTCGTACGTCAGCGTGCCAGAGCGGGACACCACACCGATCTTGCCCTTCTTGTGGATGTAACCGGGCATGATGCCGATCTTGCACTCACCGGGCTTGATGATACCCGGGCAGTTCGGACCGATCAGACGAGACTTCGACTGGCTCTTCATGATGTCCTTCACGCGGAGCATGTCGTGCTGGGGAATTCCCTCCGTGATGCACACGATCAGAGGGATCTCAGCAGCAACAGCCTCCAGAATTGCGGAAGCAGCGCCGCTAGGAGGCACGTAAATGACGGTAGCGTCAGCATTCGTAGCCTTCTTGGCCTAGAAAGATAGTTTAGCGATTCAAACATTCTACCTCCTCCACACTTGAGAAAATAGGCAGACCCAAGTGAGTGCTACCAGCCTTCTTGGGATTTACTCCACCGACCATCTTGGTTCCGTACTCAATAGCCTGCTGCGTGTGGAACGTACCCTACAGCATCAGGCAAACACAAAAACGATGCTCACATTCTTTCCAGTGATACCCTGACCGATTACCTTGGTGTTCTTGTCAATCCACACGCGCGCAGTGCTGCTGGCGCGAGCAACGGATAATCCGATACGCGATACTTTAGAAACGCTTGAGAGCATTGAATAGAAAAGAAATGGTTCTATTTCTGATTTCCACAGTTTCCACTATCTGTTGCTTTAGCTATTGCTTTCATTCGATTATATTGGAACATTCAGATTCGCTTCTAGAAAGGATGTTAACAGATCCATAGAGAAGAATAAACTGTGGATGGCTGCGGAGGATTTCCCAAGAGCGATTTGTGTGCAGTGCTAGACTTTATCTTTATTCTCGATTCCATAAATCACAAATTGGGCAGCAGAAAAGCAAGGTCTTTGAAAACAAAACGAAGCAAGCAAACTGCCATCCTTAATCCCGAAAAACGAAAAACGAAAAAACTGATTCGTGTCAAAGTATTGTTGAACATAGTAAATGATATCTCTCTTTGTGCGTAACGGTGCTCGTGCTCTCTCTGCGGTACGTGCTGTTGGTGTTACAACTGTGCAACGATCGCTCTTTACAAATCCTTTCAAATCGGTAGGAGTACGCATTGAATTTGATTCTAGGAAACAGAGGTAGATGAGGCAAACTGCCCGAAAGCAAAAGTAAGTGAGAGTGAGTTCATTCTTCACCATAGGCTTTTGATGATCTTATGGATAAAAAGGAGCAAGAGAAGAAGGCAAAACCAGTGCCTAAGAATCTGAAGGGAGATGATTATCCCTTCGAGTTGGAAGAAGAGGACTATGTTGAAATGGTAGTCGAGGGTCTGAACTGTGAGCGTAGATTGATCCTAAAACGGGAGAGTGGAATCCCCCACGAGGAGTTTTTAACAATGCCGAACCTACTCGCTACGGAGATTGGGAGATTAAGGGACGTTGTTATGACTTTTAAATTCGCTTCTTGTTTGGAGCAAACAAACAAGCAAACAAACAAGTCACTTTCCTTCAAACATCGATGTGAGAACGGTTACTCGCGATAACTGGATACGCTCCAGAGCATCTGTCGGTTGTTCGTTGTTCGGCGAGATGGCTTCCTTCGCTTTCTTGCAGATATCAAGAACCAGAGATTTGCTATTTCCCTAAACATTCAACTCCCTCCAAACTATGACCTCCAGGCCCATGAGATAACGCAAGAGAATCTTAAAATCCTCCTTTGTAATTTGGTAGGGGTCGAGAATATGACGTATCAGCCAATTCTGGGAATCAACAGCCATTTCGCCCTACTTGCTTGTTTTTCTTAAAGGACCAGTTGTTCCGATCATCATTCCACTTGTGGAGATACTCCAGAGCTGCTGCTTTTCCAGGGAGGGGCGACTCAACTACAATGACCTGTCCCGGCTTTGGCTTCTCCACTTTCTTCTTTGGCTTCTTTGGCTTCTTTGGCTTCTTTGGTGGCTTCTTGGCGGGATCTTTTCTACAAAAAGACACAACAATGAAGTCTACTGCTCTACAGTACTATCGGGTGTTTTAATCTCCTCGGGCTTATTTTCTTCCGCAACTTTTCTAGCTCAAAAACCCAACAATTCCCATACTCGGTCTCGTCCGTGCTTTTCTGTAGTGCCTTCTGCTTCTTGATCACTTTGCGGTATGTCTAGAGGTACAATCCGAACACAAGGTAACCTCGAGACGATGATCGACTCCTTTTTCCTTTTTCTCCTTCCTCTCCCTCTTTCCTTCTTTGGCCATCACGATTCTTGAGAAAAGTAGTAGAAGTAGAAAAAAACCTTTAAACAAGGGGCATGAAACTCCCTTGACTCTGTGCGAGTCTTTCCAATAGAGTTGATACCGTTGTAAATTGTGGACATGCCCTCTAAAAGGAACCGCAATGACAAGTCCAACAAAGGAAAGTCTTTAGTTGCTGATGTTTCAACTCTTTTACAGAGAGCCCAAAACTGCATCGACAAAATGGATGGAAAGGGAGCGTTGCTCCATTTAGAAGAGGCGTTGAAGCAGCAACCTGACAATCTGGAGGTTGTGGATAAAACAGCAAACGTATATATGGAACTTGGAGAAGATGAAAAGGCATTTCCAGTGTGCATTTGGATTTCTGGTAATTGTGTAGTTGCTTGTGAAAAGTGCAAAAGAGGACCCCGATCATAATTATGAGAAGTGGATGTACTTGGGACAGCTTCAGGTACGACTGGACTGCCGTATTGAGCGTAGAATGGAAATGATGCTGTAACGTGCTACCGCAAAGGAATCCAGCTCCTCGAGGCTGAGGTGAACGCGACTCCGGACGGAGAGGACAAGCAGATGCTTCTCAATCGTCTCTGTGGTGCCTATTGCTCCGTAGGCGAGCTGTACATGACCGATTTATGATATCCTGCATTTTCATACGAGGTTCTTAACTCCACCGAAGAGCCAGACGCCGAGCAGAACTGCGAGGGGTGCATCACGCACGGCCTCTCCCTCTGTCCCGACAACGTGGACGGCCTGGTCATGTTAGCGAGCTGTCGCATGTCGCAATGCCGCTTCGACGACGCGGAGCAAATTTTGATGCACGTGAGCGAGATCATCGCCGCGATCGACACGACCACCGACTTCCTTCCCGCCTACGACGTTCGCTTATTCGCCGGAAAGATGCTTCTCGAGCTCGACAACGACGACAGCTGCGTAGATGCGAAGAGACGAGTGGACGGTAGAGAGATCGATGCGAGGCGGCGGTGAATCTGTTCGATCAGCTGCTGCTGGAAAACGACGAGAACAACGAGCTGCTGTTCTTGATGGCCACCGCGCACTACAATCTGCAGAGCTACTCGATGGGATTGGAGTTCGCGACGGTCCTGGAGAAGGTGGCAGCGAGGCGGAGCGCTGAGGAATAGAGAATTCAGGAGATGTTGAAGAGGGAGGGAAATATTCCTGAGCTGTGCGCGCAGATGGAGGAGGTGCAGAAACTGCTGAAAGATCTGCGCGATGGGCAGGCTGCGAACCCAGAGGCGGAAAAAATGCAGGAAATTCCGGAGGAGGAAGCTAAGATGCAGGAAGAGTGAATTTAGTATTTGTTTGAGGAAAACATGGATAAGAGAGTACATAGGGAACAGATGCCGATTTACGCGTTTCTTGACTAATATGGATATGGATTGTGGACCAATCGATTGTCTTGTCAGTGGTTGTTTCACTTTTACGTATTTCATTGTACTGAGAGCTCCGACTCGCCACAAATAGGTTTGTAAAAGAAGGAAAGGTAAAGCCTGGATGGCTATTGCTGCTTTCCGTATTTTGAGGCGCTTGAGATTGAGAAGAGAAGGGGTTATTGCCTCCAACTATACATTGCGAAAGGAGACCAAACTTACAAGGTTTGGGTACTTGAAAAGCAGTGCCTTTTGAATCCTGGAACAATCCTCTCATAGGGATACAAAAATATAACGAAAGCAGGAATAGTGTAGTAAATACAGTTGATTCCATGTTTTGGATCCAATGAGAGTGAAACAAACAGCTTCAATAACTATAGGAACGGTGTCTGTTCAAAAACCGAATAGGATTGCTGAACTGTCTCTTTTCATTATGCGGAAGTGACAAACGTTGTTCTGGTAATATTACAGGGGCACTATCAGTAGAATCAAGTTCGGGCTGGTAAGGAATGACCACTTCCAACGGAGAGTTACCCTATAGAAGAGCAGAGAGTTAGAGAGCAATACTTCGTGGTTAATGACAGAAGTCTGCTCATCAGCAAAACGAACTTGAGATCGCTTCTTCTTGAAAGGAGTCAACGCTACAGTTGTACCACAACCAGAAATCATACGAATTTTGCTCTCCCTATTGACGGCATCCAATTGTCTAGAAACACCATCCGCTGTTATTCTGTTGTGCTTTTTATTGTAGTGGTGAATAAATGGAAGCAGCAGGATCGTACCCACTCCAATTGTCCAGAAGAGCATTCTTTTTTCAGACATATCACTCTGGCCTTCACACTACCAAATGATCCACAAAAAGTAGAATAGAAAAGTGGAAAGTGAGAAACTCTATAGAGTTTTTTGCTCTTACTAATATCTTTTAATATGCAACGATTTGTCGCGAGATCACTTAGCGTACTTCCTGTTCGTTCCTTCTCTGGTAATTTTGGTTGCTAGGAGTAATATCCAGTATCATTCAAAGTGAAGTACACAGACTCAAAGGGAAACGTCAAAAACTATGACGTCACTGCCCCGGAGGAGTCTACTTTATTGGATGCTATTAAGAGTGCCGCAATTCCCATTCAGAGTACCTGTTACGATAAATAGTGAATCTGCAGATCGCTGTGGTGGAAATTGCACTTGCGGTACTTGCGCTGTGCTGATGTCGCCGGCTTTGAGTGACCAGACTTTAATGACTGCGAAAGAAAGTGGATTGCTCAGACGGAGAGGAAAAGGAAAGGGGTAGGCTCTTTAGGATTCATTCTTTGTAGCTATCATCTCGCCTGTCAGTCAATTGTGACCAGCTTTATGGAAGATGAGACGATCGAGATTAACTATTGCAGAAAGTGTGCTGTTTCTTGAAAATAATTCGATGTGAAAGAGAGTACACACCCTGTTTTGTGATGGTGATGGAGTAACTGGAAGAAATGAGTGTGAAATCCAGGTGACAGAGGGGAATTAGGTAATAAGATGTGTTGCTTTTAGGAATACGCATCACACAGGGAAGTGAGAGTATAGAGGTGTACCAGTATTGTGATATGCTTCTAGGTGGATATCATCATACACACAATAAAAGGTGGATGACAATTTGCAGAACAGACAAAATGGAGTACATAGCGATTGCTGTTGTTTGCTATTTGTGTTGGTAGATACATCGAAATTAACACATAAATATACATTGAGTCGACATTATCGATAATGTCAATAATCATCATTTTACGCTGAATAATAGCATGTACAATATGCGAATAATATTACTGAGAATCCTTGCAAATGAGTGTTCACCATCACTCTCAAAAATGGTCCAATAATGAATATCATATTATAATTTAGCAGCTTCTACAATATACTCGGTAAAAAGAAAAATAACAAAGCTGTTATACCAACTCAGTTAACTCGAGACGAGCTAGATCTTAGATCCTATGATCAGTCATACAGCAAGGATCAAACCTAAAATATATTAGAGTAGCACTACAAGGGGTATCGAAATTTCATACTTTTTCTTATTGTTGATTGTTCAACAAAGAATTATTAGAATTTGAGCATGGAGCAAGTGGAATATAAAATTGTTACCAAAGGAAATAAAGAAAGTAACGCTTTTAGGGATTGTTCAGTATTTAGTCTCCAAAGGACAAGTAAGCAGATCAGCATATCTGGAGTATGTATATTTTAAAGACAAAGGGCTTTATTTGCATTGGTATGATAATGAACCAAAAGATATCAAGATTAATACACATCATCACCAATTCTACGTTTATATTAACGGTTGCATCAATTACTATGTATCTATGGAAGATAATAATTATACATGTAACGTTTATGAATGTAATAATGAGAATTATAAAAACTTCAGCTACTACGCAAGGTATGATTATGATAATGTTGATGTGTGTTATTATTGGGACAACGATAACCACTACATAAAAAAGACATTTGAAGATAGAATAATGAGAGAATACTCTTATGAAGTGAAAAATGGAAATATTGATGATACAACGAAAAAAAGAGTATATAAAGGTGAATATGAGTACAATCCTAAACAACACTTTCCAAGAAAAAATAACAAGATTGCAGGCCAAGGAAGTCAAGTGGATAATGATATACAAAACAATGCAAACACTGAGAATCAAAAGAACAGTAAGTTGAGCGCCATTATGTAATAATTTGTAGATTCTGATCCAGCACAAAATCATCCACAAAATAAAACAGAAGATGAAACGTCTACAACGATTGGTACAACTGATTCTAAAAATGGATCACAAAAAGAACAGCAGAATGAGGAAAAGGAGAACACCAACGAAATAAGAGATAAAAATGAAAACAAAAATGGAACCACCATTAAGAATGATGAATCATCTCTGTCAAATGGAGTCGCAAATACTACTGATAAAAATGTAGACTCAGAAATTCCCAAGGAAATACCAGGTAAAGTAAATCTATATATGTTAAGAGTAGTTATACTCAAAGTAGAGAATCCACAGGGTACTTACCTAATAAATGCACAAAAGAAACAAAATAACTATATTACTCTAACATGGACAAATAGCAAAAGCCAAGAGATCCCAGTTAGTGAGGATGGAACTTCTTTTGTGGTGGAATCGAAAGAACGGAATTATCTGCTCAAATTTGACAATGATTTTACAAAATGTTACATAATCGAGTATAAGCAAAAAGACGATTTAAAAGGATATTGCTATTACACTAAGCATGAGGCGGATGAGCTGAAGGAGTGTGGACTTGTTAAGAATGATGAATATGTCTGTTTCAAGAAGTTTAATAATGGGAAAATGACCGAGTATACATATAGTTTCGAGAATGAACAAATTGTTGTTGGATCCAAGACAGAGGTGTATGAAGGTAATTATCAGAACAATCCTTGTGAGCATTATCCTAGGGTCGTTCCAAATGCCTTGGAAATACTTCCAGAATTGCCAAGGAATGCTAAAGAAGAAATTGTCGAGTATATAAAGAAGATAGAACAAGGACAAAATGAAATTGTTGTTAAGGCAGGAACTGAATTATCTCAGATAGATTGTAATGCGGGAATATTAATATTTGAAGAATCATATATGAATGAACTACAGAACGATTTTGTTATTAATGAAAAACAATTCCCCTATTTAAGGAAACTAATTTTAGAAAGTAATTGTCAGAATTCAAGAGACAAAATATTCGGTAAATTTGAAATATCGGGTTGCCTGAAATTGGAAGAAATTGAAGTGAAAAATAATTCTTTTTGTTGGTATATGCAGTATGTATTCAAGGGTATTGCTATTGTTTTTATGTTTTCAAATAGACTTGCCTTCTCTCAAGTCAATTAAACTAAGTGGTGGTCTTCTTGGTCTACCCCAAACCTCTTATGAATGTCCTGGTCAGTCTTCTTTAGAAATGATAAGTTTGAGAGTCGTTCTGTTTTCACTGTAGATCTCCCCTCTCTCACTACGATTATCGCTAAATCAAAATCGTTATATTTCGTATCCACAATTACGATAAAGAGTAACACTTATAGAAAATATAGGATTATAGATGTTCCAAATGTGAAAAGAGCAGATCTCGGGGATGCATCCCAAGGACTCATAAAATGCGAAGTGTCAGGTAGTATCGAGAATGAAAACATTATTTTCAGAGAATACTAGCGAGGCCATTAAGAAATATTTTCTTAGGAAAAATAAATCGGTTGCTCTATCTACTACCACTACTACTCATGATTTTTCTCATGGAGATTATGTTTGTAATGTATGTACTGAGGAGAGAAATGAGGGAGACAAGCATACTAAATTCATAAAAGAATCTATAGATGGTCAACTAAGTGAAAAAACGGATACAGCTAGAAAAAATACCAATACTGCAGTAATTGATGATAATCATTCGCTTATAATAAATAATGATAATGAAAAGAAATATAAAAGTTTAAAAGAAAAATTATGTTATACTGCTTTTATTATTGAGGCAAAATGTGGTAAGTTTAAATTATTATCACTTGCAATATGGGAACAACTCGAATGTGTGTTGATTGCGAATAATTGTTGTTCCAATTGCACGATGTTTTGTATATCTTCTTGTCCCAAACTAAGATCTCTTCTTATTGGGGAATCTTCGTTTAGTTCTGCTAAGCTTCATGTTCAAAGTAATCATTGGCATGAATATTATTTAGTAGATTGTGACTTATTAGAAGAAATAGTAATTGGTAATAATTCATTTGAAAATAGTCGATATTTAACTTTAGAAAGTATGGTACCGTTAGTTGTTTCTAAATAGATCTTCCGGAACTAAGAATCATTGATTTACAAGGTGGAAATTTCTGCGGTGGAGGTGGATGGTTTTCAAAAGGAATGGAGTTGATAATGATGGGTTTATATTTTACACATATACTAATAGCATTAGGGCTTCCCAAACTGAAAGAAATGAAGGTTGATGAGACTTCATTCATTTATATCAGCAGTACATCGTTTCAGAGTATATACAATGATGGGCGATAATAAAAAGATATTCCGGAGATAAACGGTATTACTGAGCAAATGGTTAATCAATTAAACGATGTTGTCTCTGGTATGTGATTTGTTAGGAATTGTTAGTAGATCATTCTCAAAAACTGAAAATCAAAACAATTGGCTAAGAATAAGGGGAATGTTTGTTATATAAACCAAAGGCTGTAGTGTTCACTGACTATCAAATTAACTATATAAAAGCAATACGCAATTCATATTGTATTATTATGGTATAGAAGACTCAAAATGAAAAACTACACAGAACAACGCGTAGTAGGTAAAGGATTTTGATTGTACAACAAAAATAAAAAACCTGAAAAGTGAAACCTGATGGAATAAATAGAAACATCATATACTATATAACTATTAATGCGAATAACATTCAATTATGATGAAAAACATGAAAAATAGCTAATACTTTCTAAATAATCCAACTCATTTTTGTTAAAAGGATTATAAATGTAAAATCATTTAGCAATAATAATCATTTTTAAAACTCATAAAGACTGGTAGTTAGTCAAGCTTGTCTGAAAACATAACTTAATCGGTTGTAGTTTAGAACACACAAGGTCAAAGATCACAATTAGCATACTATCAATCAATACTCCTAACCATCCCTTTATCATCCTTCCCTTATTCCATCAATGTTCGGAATTGCTTGTCGATGTCTTCATACAGCTCGTCGAACTTCGCCTTCATTTCCTCCACCGCCAATTTCGGGTGATAGAACTTCATGGAGGTGATTCTGTAGATCAGATCGGTCATCGAGGCCTTGATGTGGGCCCACGTCACCTTGGCATCCACGGGGGAATCGCGGATGGCCTTCATGCAGCAGTCGTAGAAATGGGTGATGATCCGGAGCATTCCCACCGATTTGTGGAGAGGGGAGGTGAAGTCGTACTCGGAGTAGGCGTTCTGCTGGAGGAAGTCTTCGCGGATGATCTTCGCGACCTCCATGATCACTTTCTGGTCCTCCGAGAGAGACTCCTTTCCCACCAGCTGCACGATTTCCTGCAGATTGTCCTCTTCCTGCAGGATTTGGCGCACGCGGTTGCGCATCGCGATGAACTCGGGGTCCATTTCCGCGAAGAACGGCTCCAGCACGCGGTCGTACTTGCTGTAGCTCACCAGCCAGTTGATGGCTGGGAAGTGTTTTCGCTGGGCGAGCTTCTTCTCCAGTCCCCAGAACACCTGCACGATCGACAGCGTCGCCGTCGTCACGGGATCGGAGAAGTCGCCTCCGGGCGGGGACACTGCGCCCACCACCGTCACGGAGCCCTCGCGCGCCGGGGATCCGATCAGCCGCGCGCGGCCGGCTCGCTCGTAGAACGCGGCCAGACGGGCCGACAGGTACGCGGGGTAGCCGCTGTCCGCGGGCATCTCGCCCAGACGGCCCGAAATCTCTCGCAGCGCCTCCGCCCAGCGCGACGACGAGTCCGCCATCATCGCCACGTTCATTCCCATGTCGCGGAAGTACTCCGCGATCGTGATTCCCGTGTAGATCGACGCCTCGCGCGCCGCCACCGGCATGTTCGACGTGTTCGCCACCAGACACGTTCGGTTCATGATGCCGATCTCCTTCCCGTTCAGCTCCGTCTTCAGCTCGGGGAACTCGTACAGCACCTCCGCCATCTCGTTTCCGCGCTCGCCGCACCCCACGTACACGATGCAGTTCGTGTTCGCGTACTTCGACAGCGCCTGCGAGATCACCGTCTTCCCGCACCCGAACGCGCCGGGGATGCAGCACGTGCCGCCCAGCACCGACGGGAACAGCGTGTCGATGATGCGCTGGCCCGTGATCAGCGGGTGGTTCCCGGGAAGCTTCTCGATCACCGGACGCGAGCTGCGCACCGGCCACAGGTGGGACATCGTCAGCTTGCTCACCACGCCCGTCGTCTCGTCGCGCACCTCAAGCAGCGTGTCGTTCAGAGTCAATTCTTCTTTGCCGTCCGTCTCACCACCATACACCTTCACCACTGTTCCCTTCAGATTCGGAGGACACATGATGCTGTGCTCCGGAATCAGCTCGTTCTCGTACACCACACCGAAAATATCACCGCCCGAGATGATATCGCCTTCCTTGAAATGCAGAGGGGTGTATAACCACTTCCGGTCTCTGTGCATTAATCAACAATCCAAAAATAGAATTACCGATTCAGCGCTGGAACATCCGCTCCACGAGGAATGAAGGGAGAGTGTGATTGGTTGTAAATAACCTCCAAAGGTCGTTGAATACCATCAAAAATGTTTGACATGATACCAGGACCCAATTCCACAGAAAGAGGAGTGTTTGTACGAAGTACAGGATCACCCACCGTTAGACCCGCTATTTGTCAATATTCATCTGTTTCAATACCAGTCTCTTCGTAACATTGAATTGAAGCAGTGTCGCCTTCAAGTTTAATAATCTCACCCACCAAACGGTCATATCCCACTCTTACCAGTTCATACATACTTGTTCCAGACATATGGTCAGCTACAACCACTAAATCCTTACTTCCCTTCAACTAAACACTTACAAGGTCCGGAAACCTTCAGAACATATCCATACATGCTCTCTTTGTCCTCGTCTTGATAGGAAGGCATTTCTGACTTTCAATAGCGCTATAATACCCGAATTTGGATAATATGAATCGAGAAACGTGGAAATGTAGTTTCATTACTTTGATTGTTTGCCTTTCTTTTCTTTATATCTCCTTTGATATCAACAAAACAATTCATTCATTCTTTTCACAAGTACCCTAATCGCAGCAGAATCACCTTTTACTTGTGAGAAGCCTTCTTCGCACGACGGTTCTTGATCTCACTAACCCTTATTCATTATTCAAATTTCATACGCAAGAATGGCCTCACGCGACTTCTTGGCAATCTCCTGCTTCTGATCCTTCTTCTTCTGAATATCTTGCACGTTCATGCCGCAGATAGCCTTCTGAACCTTGAACGACTTCTTGCTTCGGCGCTTGCTCTTCTCAGCAGCCTATTCAATTTACGATTTTCAGCTTCTTTACCTCGATCTTCTTGTTGTTACGTCTCCAGGCAGTAGTCCATCGAATACGAGCAGGCTTCTTCTTCTGGGAACCCAGGGAGCAGCACTTGTGATTGAGGAAGTGCACGGGCTGGAGATGAGCAAAACGGAACGGAAATTACCTGTCCGTCCTTGCGGATGTACATGCCTCCGTGTCCAGGATAAATCTTGTACTCCGAGAAAGAGCAGGTTAAAGTCCTAGGAAAAGTGAGAAATGAAGTTATAAATGGTTAGAATGTGTGGGAATCGATACGTACTTTACCACCATATTGATTAGAGTGACTCCAAAGAATAATAGTGAGAAATAATCGAAAAGAAAGCGTTTAGTGGTTATTCATAATAAAGGTGAAATGTATTTACCCATTATTTGATGAAATGAGGGGAAAAGATATCGTATTGAATATGGAATGCTGCCTGAAAATACTCATTTTAGCGTATGGAACAAACAAAACTAGTTTACAGACTATTTCACTTTTCTCTTCTTGCTCTACCTTTCAATCCCTCTAAAATCCTTTACTTCTGGTTTCGATTCCATTGTGTTCCACCTTTTCACAGGTTTATCCGGGAGTTTGATTAACCCATAATCTGCCTTGCATTTCTACCCTTGAGCGCCTCTCTCTTCCTACGACCTTTCCCATGAGCAGCACAGCTACCCTCTGCTTAAGCAGCATTAGCTCCTTTTGTACTCTAAATGACTTGCTCTTCAGCTCTGCCACTCCCAGTTCTGCAATGATGCGTCTGTGCTCCTCCTTCATATCGCGCGTCAGATTCACTTCCTCCTGCTAGTCATCAGTCGATTCATCCACACCCACCCCGCACCGACTCGCCAATGTAACGCCTGGCGGTAGAAACATCGCGGGCTTCGCTTCTATTGGTGACATCGCGCTGCCTCTTCTACCAATCATCGCGTTCATCTCAGCCACCATTTGATTGACCGGATAGCGCTGTCCGTAGCTGCGACGGGAATCGGGCTACGATAAAAAAACAGCCAAAAGCAAAACCGATCCGATCAGAGTGAGCGCTTCTTGGATGGATTGGAGCTTGGATTGAAGCTGCTTTTCTTCCTGCTGACCCAAACCCAGCGATCTGAAAAGCAGATCTTGCTGTTTGCGACGCTTCACACTGTTCTCATAGTCAAATCTGGATGGAACGCAATGGTCTGTTCTACCTAAAATGGCTGAGCTCTTCTTCCCAGTCTTTGATGATAAATCCTTTACAACGACGAAGCTCGATTAAGGTTCGAGACACCTCCACATAGATGCCTTGGATGTCTTCTAGAGAGTACTGCTCTCTCGCAGAGAAGCAGTCGTAGATGACTGGCCAACGAAGATCATACCTAGATGATTATCATGTCATCAGCAATGTTTTTTACTTTCTACACAAATCAAATAGCTCGTTTGTAAGTTCATTTGTCCAATTTTTGGGTAGATCGAATATACATTCCTCTAACTCTTCCTCTACAATAAAAACATTTACAAATCGCTACGTTTATAACTCACAATATTTATCTGATAATTAAATCGAGCAAAGGGATAGTCTGGATACTCCACTTTGTCACGAACCCAATGTTTGAATGTTGCTCCATCCGATCTGGCAGAGCTCGTAAAGTCCGCATATATCCATTTACGCACAGGCTCCTTTGAGATCACTAATGCTAAAAGTGATAACCAACAAGAAAACTCAACTCTTTTTCTCCTTAATCAATTCCAATGGAGGTGGATTATTCTCGTCCACAATATTTCTCAGATACCGAGGTAGGTTTGCGTAGGGGTCATTTTTCACAGCTTTTTTCGGCTTCTTCTCCTCTGCTCCTTCCTTTGGCTTGTCTTCAACGCCCAGAATTTGAGCAATATCAGACATTATAAAGATTTGAACATACTTTTTTCTTTGAATTCTTCATTGTTTTTAAGATGAATGAAAATGAGAAGGTTTGCAATTTTTCAATACACAATTATCATATAGGCTGTATCTATCAAGCGAGAACATGAAGAATCAGCGAATACCAGTAATGTAGAAATTAGTGATAAAAAGAGTAAAGTTGATCAAAGCCAAAGTCTTCAATCTGTCATGCAGCGCGTAAATAAGTTCCTTGTAGAAGCGTCAGTTCGGTTTGATTTTTAGGGAGACGAGAAGAAGTTTGTGAAAGCGGTCCCAATCTACGAAAAGATCATCAATCAAAAAGCTAAGGAGTCATTAAACGAGGAAGACAAAGTAGCGTTGTTTTCTGGTGTGAAAGTTGCTGCTACATCTATTTCTGTGATGCTCGAGAAGTCCAATTGGGATCCGTTTTCTAAATTGCTGAAAACTTGCCTTTCGAATTCCTCGTTATTTTTAGAATCTCAGATTGTATGGTATTCACTGCTACATACATCATAGAACTGGATTAAGAAGTGGGAAGTGCTTCTCTCTATCATTACTTCAATGAATAGTGATGACTCGTTTGTGATAGCTGGAATGCATAAGAAGATCGACTCCATCATTTCTTCATGGAGCCAAGTCAAGTATCTTTTATAATTGGGTTTTAATTCGTAGAGAGGACTCGCTAGATGAGAAAGAGAGTAGTTGTGAGGCAGAAGAATTATCTCCTAGAGTTGCTCTATGGAAATGAGCAGTATTTTGTTATGGAAATCCTCATTCGGCTGCTTGGAATGGCTTCTTTGCAGTATCGGATTTCGCCCTTATTTAAGTCTATCAATTTAGTGATGAATACCAACGACCATCTATTTAAGTACGAATAGCGAATTTTTATGAACTCTAGAGCCAACCTGGATATGTTTGAAGAGTTACGCAAAAAATATCAAGAGAAAAGGGATCACCGAAATGAAAAGAAAATAGCTACACATTTCCTTGAAGAGGATAGTCAAAGTCGTGTTAACCCATGGCAATTAAAGGGTTCAAATCCTTATTTATTATCATTTGTTTGTTATAATCACTTCGAATTTCATTTCTCTTCATAGTTGTTGAGTATTTTCAAATAATACAATAATTACGGGGAATACACAATTTTGGCGAGGCATAATAATCATGACTTCATGACCACTGTGCAGTCTCTGAGAAACCTGCCATCTCTAGATATTCTTTGGAGTCACTCTAATCAATATGGTGGTAAAGTACGTATCGATTCCCGCACATTCTAACCATTTATAACTTCATTTCTCACTTTTCCTAGGACTTTAACCTGCTCTTTCTCGGAGTACAAGATTTATCCTGGACACGGAGGCATGTACATCCGCAAGGACGGACAGGTAATTTCCGTTCTGTTTTGCTCATCTCCAGCCCGTGCACTTCCTCAATCACAAGTGCTGCTCTCTGGGTTCCCAGAAGAAGAAGCCTGCTCGTATTCGATGGACTACTGCCTGGAGACGTAACAACAAGAAGATCGAGGTAAAGAAGCTGAAAATCGTAAATTGAATAGGCTGCTGAGAAGAGCAAGCGCCGAAGCAAGAAGTCGTTCAAGGTTCAGAAGGCTATCTGCGGCATGAACGTGCAAGATATTCAGAAGAAGAAGGATCAGAAGCAGGAGATTGCCAAGAAGTCGCGTGAGGCCATTCTTGCGTATGAAATTTGAATAATGAATAAAGGTTAGTGAGATCAAGAACCGTCGTGCGAAGAAGGCTTCTCACAAGTAAAAGGTGATTCTGCTGCGATTAGGGTACTTGTGAAAAGAATGAATGAATTGTTTTGTTGATATCAAAGGAGATATAGAGAAAAGAAAGGCAAACAATCAAAGTAATGAAACTACATTTCCACGTTTCTCGATTCATATTATCCAAATTCGGGTATTATAGCGCTATTGAAAGTCAGAAATGCCTTCCTATCAAGACGAGGACAAAGAGAGCATGTATGGATATGTTCTGAAGGTTTCCGGACCTTGTAAGTGTTTAGTTGAAGGGAAGTAAGGATTTAGTGGTTGTAGCTGACCATATGTCTGGAACAAGTATGTATGAACTGGTGAGAGTGGGATACGACCGTTTGGTGGGTGAGATTATTAAACTTGAAGGCGACACTGCTTCAATTCAATGTTACGAAGAGACTGGTATTGAAACAGATAAATATTGACAAATAGCGGGTCTAACGGTGGGTGATCCTGTACTTCGTACAAACACTCCTCTTTCTGTGGAATTGGGTCCTGGTATCATGTCAAACATTTTTGATGGTATTCAACGACCTTTGGAGGTTATTTACAACCAATCACACTCTCCCTTCATTCCTCGTGGAGCGGATGTTCCAGCGCTGAATCGGTAATTCTATTTTTGGATTGTTGATTAATGCACAGAGACCGGAAGTGGTTATACACCCCTCTGCATTTCAAGGAAGGCGATATCATCTCGGGCGGTGATATTTTCGGTGTGGTGTACGAGAACGAGCTGATTCCGGAGCACAGCATCATGTGTCCTCCGAATCTGAAGGGAACAGTGGTGAAGGTGTATGGTGGTGAGACGGACGGCAAAGAAGAATTGACTCTGAACGACACGCTGCTTGAGGTGCGCGACGAGACGACGGGCGTGGTGAGCAAGCTGACGATGTCCCACCTGTGGCCGGTGCGCAGCTCGCGTCCGGTGATCGAGAAGCTTCCCGGGAACCACCCGCTGATCACGGGCCAGCGCATCATCGACACGCTGTTCCCGTCGGTGCTGGGCGGCACGTGCTGCATCCCCGGCGCGTTCGGGTGCGGGAAGACGGTGATCTCGCAGGCGCTGTCGAAGTACGCGAACACGAACTGCATCGTGTACGTGGGGTGCGGCGAGCGCGGAAACGAGATGGCGGAGGTGCTGTACGAGTTCCCCGAGCTGAAGACGGAGCTGAACGGGAAGGAGATCGGCATCATGAACCGAACGTGTCTGGTGGCGAACACGTCGAACATGCCGGTGGCGGCGCGCGAGGCGTCGATCTACACGGGAATCACGATCGCGGAGTACTTCCGCGACATGGGAATGAACGTGGCGATGATGGCGGACTCGTCGTCGCGCTGGGCGGAGGCGCTGCGAGAGATTTCGGGCCGTCTGGGCGAGATGCCCGCGGACAGCGGCTACCCCGCGTACCTGTCGGCCCGTCTGGCCGCGTTCTACGAGCGAGCCGGCCGCGCGCGGCTGATCGGATCCCCGGCGCGCGAGGGCTCCGTGACGGTGGTGGGCGCAGTGTCCCCGCCCGGAGGCGACTTCTCCGATCCCGTGACGACGGCGACGCTGTCGATCGTGCAGGTGTTCTGGGGACTGGAGAAGAAGCTCGCCCAGCGAAAACACTTCCCAGCCATCAACTGGCTGGTGAGCTACAGCAAGTACGACCGCGTGCTGGAGCCGTTCTTCGCGGAAATGGACCCCGAGTTCATCGCGATGCGCAACCGCGTGCGCCAAATCCTGCAGGAAGAGGACAATCTGCAGGAAATCGTGCAGCTGGTGGGAAAGGAGTCTCTCTCGGAGGACCAGAAAGTGATCATGGAGGTCGCGAAGATCATCCGCGAAGACTTCCTCCAGCAGAACGCCTACTCCGAGTACGACTTCACCTCCCCTCTCCACAAATCGGTGGGAATGCTCCGGATCATCACCCATTTCTACGACTGCTGCATGAAGGCCATCCGCGATTCCCCCGTGGATGCCAAGGTGACGTGGGCCCACATCAAGGCCTCGATGACCGATCTGATCTACAGAATCACCTCCATGAAGTTCTATCACCCGAAATTGGCGGTGGAGGAAATGAAGGCGAAGTTCGACGAGCTGTATGAAGACATCGACAAGCAATTCCGAACATTGATGGAATAAGGGAAGGATGATAAAGGGATGGTTAGGAGTATTGATTGATAGTATGCTAATTGTGATCTTTGACCTTGTGTGTTCTAAACCCCAGCTGAATGCAACAAACAATCCAACCAGGAAGGAAGTTACTAGTCCACTCTTAATAGTCCGCGTTCTTCGGCCAGCGAGGGAAGGGAATCACATCGCGAATGTTCTCCATTCCCGTCACGAACATCACCAGACGCTCGAAGCCGAGTCCAAATCCGCTGTGAGGCACCGATCCATAGCGGCGGAGATCCAAATACCACTCCAATCCCTCCTTGGCCATTCCCAGCTCCTCGATTCTACCGCTCATTCCCCTCCTTCGCGCTCACCTCTTCTCCAGCACGTCCAGATTCTCTTCTCGCTGCGATCCTCCGATCAGCTCTCCGATCTTCGGCACCAGCACGTCCATCGCGCGCACCGTCTTTCCGTCCTCGTTCACCTTCATGTAGAACGCCTTGATCTCCTTGGGATAGTCCGTCATGATCACCGGGCACTTGTACACCTGCTCCGTCAGATAACGCTCGTGCTCCGAGCCCAGGTCCAGACCCCAGTACGGCTGCACCTCGAACTTCACCGTCTTGGCCGCCTCCTGCAGGATCTCGATGGCCTTCGTGTAGGGGAGATGCACGAAGGGATGCTCCAGCACGTTGCGCAGACGGTCATGCAGACCCTACGCCTCACACGCCTCTCCAACACACACAGGCTCGATCTGCTTCTCGAAAAACTCCAAATCGTCCTTGTTGTGCTCCATCACGTACGCCGTGCAGAACTTCACGTAGTCCTCCGCCACGGCCATGTCCATCTTCAGATCGCAGAAGCTACGCCTCACTTCCCTGCTCCGCGGCTACGCCATTTCCGGTTCAATCATCCAGAACTCCGCGAGGTGGCGAACGGAGTGCGAGTTCTCCGCGCGGAAGGTCGGACCGAAGGTGTACACGTCGCACAGCGCACAGCAGTACGTCTCCACGTTCAGCTGGCCGGACACGGTCATCTTCACGTGCTTTCCGAAGAAGTCCTTGGAGTAATCGATCTTGCCCTCCTTCGTCTGCGGAATGTCCTTCTATTCGTCAGTTGGGGGCAGTGCATCGCACGATGTTCTCGTCCAGCATCGTCGTGACCGTGAACATCTCACCGGCACCTTCGCAATCCGCTCCGGTAATGATAGGGGTGTGGATGTACTTGAATCCACGCTGCTGGAAGAACAGGTGCGTGGCGAACGCGCAGCTGTTGCGGACACGCGCCACAGCGGCGATCTATTGTCAAGTTGGGCAGGTATGCGCACAGTGTTCGAACGAGAACGCAGATGAGCAATGTCACGGAGATGCTCCAGAGTATGTCGCTTCTTGGCCAGAGGGAACGTTTTCGCGTCGCAAGAACCCAGAACCACCACTTCGGTGGCATGAAGTTCCACGAACTGACCCTTGGCAGGACTCTTCACCAGCACTCCCTTGATCTGGAGGCACACGCCCACGTTTCCAGCCTTGAGAACCTCCTCGTAATTGGGAACTCTCTCGCTGTCCACTATTCATAAGGTAAGCAGGACACCCCAACAGACGCACTGCATGCTCTCGAAGCAAGATCCATCATTCAGCACAACAAAAGCGAACTTGCCTCCACCCTTTTATTAACGCATTTTCCCTACACTACCTGCTTACGAATCGTACGAGTCCATCCTCCAATAGTGATACTCTTACCAACGTATGCCAGACCGTGATCCTCTAACTCTCAGAGAAAGCGAAAAAGCGAACCAGCACAAAGAATATCTCTGATGAGGACTCTTCTTCTCTGCCAGACATCAGCAGGTTTCTCAAGAAGAGTGCTCACTTCAGGATGAGCAGTAGGGAAAGTAATTTCTTCAGCGTTTTCAGATATTTCGACTTCAGTGGACATTTCTTCTAAGTCAATAGCGAACTTTTTATGGACCTGAATGATAATACCAGAGTCATCTTTTCGGCCGATTTCTGGAAATAACCGTTATTTACTCATTCATCGCTGCTAAGCCTCTTTCTTACCTAAATTGAGTATGTCCTACCCATAGATGCAAAAAACAAACGAATCGAGGGACATGCACCTTTCTTTGCTGATTGCTCTATGCTCTCTTTAAACCAATAATTAGAAAATCAGATAAAATACCAAATTTCTACCTCATATCCGTGATTCCTTTATCATTTTTACGGGTACTTCTGCAAGACACAGTCTTTAGTATTATTTCGAATAAAGAGCTTTAACTCTTTATTCTTTTTAATTTTTGCAGTAAGCTACTGTGGAGTATCCGTCAGTGAAGTTTGCACCCTTCTTTTCTAAATTCCGAACACCTGCTTGGTTTCTCAATTTGCTATGAACCGTTTGCCTATGCAGAATGTAGAGCACTTTTACGGTGTCCTCGCTCATGGGTAGACTCGTGGTCAAAATCGAAGTCACGGCTACAAAAACTTCTCAAAGGGGCCTTCGAATCAACGTATTGATGGGTAAGAAGCTGCTTTCTATCGATAATTCGCTAGATCGAGAGGAAGACAGAGGGACAAAGGGTTACCACTGGAAACTCATTCTAGGTGGTATAACCCGTATGGTTCGGCTTGCATAATCACTCCTAGAGCTACCATGGCACCCGGAATGAGAAGTCCATACGGTTTACCAAGTATTCTTTTTTTCTTTGCGTCGAGCTTAGTGGATGACGGCACTCCGGCGTACCCTTCTTCCCACCAGTCACGCGACAATTGTTCCGTGAACAGCGACATGTACTACCCCATGGATGACCACCATCGTTGGGAGTCCCCCTACTCCTCCAATCCCTATCCCCAGCAAGACTGGCGCGACCCCTCCCTCCCTGCCTGCGGCAGCACCGAGTTTTACCCGTCTCTGTACGAGCCGTCCCCGTCGCTCGGCTACTCGGGTCCCGTGTATCCCTCGGATCGTCCGCTTCCTCTGCATCTCTCCCCCGAAGAGAGCTACACCAACCCCTCCCTCTACGACTTCTCCGACCTCTCCCACATGTCTCGCGGCTACGGAGATGCCTATCAAGACCCGTACCGAGACTCCTGGTCGCCCCCGACCGACAACTTCTGGGTCAACGTTCCCGCGCAGCCCTTCGACTCCTCTGCGTCCTCGCGCGGCGTCTTCGGGCTCAGCGACAGCCTCTATCTGGACCGCATGGACGTCGACGGGATGAGCTCCTTCAACTCCTCCACCGGGGTCTACGCTCCCAAGCTCCACGCGCGCGCCGTGGACCCGCTCCCTGGCTTTCAGACGGGTCGGTCCGCCCTGCCGCGCGCAGGAGGCCTCGCTCCCGCGGGGACCAGCACGATCTCCCCGCCGGTGCATCTCTCGCCGCTGTGGTCGCTGCCGGTGTACCGGTCGATCTGGAACGCGCTGGAGGAGTCGAAGAAGGCGCAGCTGGCGAACGCGCCGCTGCTGGAAGACCCGGGCGACCCGGTGGCGATCAAGCGGCTGATCGACCGGGGCATCCAGGAGAAGAAGTCGTGCCGCATCACGCGGGCGCGGACGATCTTCGTGGAGCTGGTGGTGAAGTACGCGCGGAACGTGCAGGTGTGGCTGGAGTTCTGCCGGCTGGAGATGGAGTGCGGGGAGTACTCGAACGCGCGCGTGGTGCTGGAGACCGCGAGCACGCAACACCCGAACAACGAGCTGCTCCTGCAGAAGCGGCTGCGCGTGGAGGAGCGGCTGCGAAGCGTGGAGAACGTGATCATCATAATCAACGAGCTGCAGTTCATGGACACGCAGAAGTCGATGAAGATCCTGGTGGAAGGGATCGGGATTCTCGCGAAGCTGGGATACGAGAAGATGGCGTTCGAGTTCAGCCAGAACATCTCGACGACCTCGAAGTATTTCACGGGGAATCTCTATCTGGAGATGATGCTAGGCGAGCAGCGGAGCGGATCGATGAAGACGCTCATGCAGATGATCGACAACGCGCTGGTGCTCTTCCCCAAGTACGGTCCGCTCTGGTTTTTCTGCTTCAACCTCACCGAGCATCTTCGCCAGCTGCAGTGGAACAAGGAGTCCATGATGGAGCTCATCTCCGTGGAGTCCATGGAGAAAAACGCGCAGCTCGCGCGCGACAGCCTCACCGTCGATATTCTCTGGAAGGTTTTCCTTCTCCGCGTCGAGTACTGGTACCGAACCTGCATGTTCCTCCGCCAGTTCACCTTCGACAACGTTTGCTTCCCTCTCTTCTCTCTCACTCCCAGCCCACGCGTCTGAAAGAGCTCGTCGAAGCGGAGCTCTACATCTCCCACCGCGTCAACCGCAACATGGCCTTCTGCGTGCAGACCTGCCCGCCCAATCTTCTCTGGAAAATGTACATGACCATCGGCCGCTACACCTGCCTCCTCGGCTACCGCCAGCTCGGCCGCAAGCTTCTCCAGCGCGCCTTCCGTCTCTCCCCCGTCAAGTCGCGCCACGCCGTGATTCTGGAGTACAGCAAGCTCGAGTACTGCGCGCTGCATCTCCCCACCAGCATCGGACTGCTCAACTACGGCATCACGCTCTTCCCTTCAGAGTGGAAGCTGCTTCTCGAGCGGATCCAGCAGCTCGTGCTGAAGGAGCAGTACTCGGAGGCGCTGCGCCTGAACATCAACGCGCTGAAGAAGCACATCGGCGCGGGCCGCTTGTGGTCCAGCTACATCCACATCGTGCATCAGTGCGTGTACAGGAGGGGCGTGAGGCGTAGGATGTTCGGCCCGGATGCCGCGATGGCGGTATTCCACAACGCGCTGAAACACGTGGCGAAGTCGGGCGAGGTGTGGTGCGAGGGCGCGCGGATCTATATGAACCCCACATCGTCGCATTTCCATCTGCTCAATGCGTCCAAGTGTCTCAACTACGCGGTGTTTTTCACGCCGCAGTATGGCGATAGCTTCATTGAGGTGGGAGCGGGGCGCCCCGATCAAGTCTAGGCGATCCGTCTGTACATTCTGTCGTCGGATCTGTTCCTCGTGATGAAGAACAATCTCGACCCCGTCCATCTTATCACAATCCTCCGATCCGTTCCTGCAATTACGTTTTTGATTAAACGAGCGTCCTTTTTCGAACCGAATTACGGACCGCTGTGGTTCCGTTGCCAGGAATTCTTTTTGTCTCCCCCGAAAGAAGTGCTGTATCGCAGTTTCCATCTTACAGCACTCGAGATCGCTGCGAACCATTCGCTGTACTACGAAGCGATGCTTCGCTGTGCGAGGAAGCGAAGTGTGCCGCACGATTCTAAGCAGACTGGCGCGCAGGCGTGTGACCTGCCGCCGATTACGCAGTTCCGAAAGCAGTTCTCTTACAGCTTCAAGCCTGATTACATGTTTGAAGTGGTGAGTCATCCGCTGCGATTGTTTTGTCAAACGAAAATTCTCTATGGAGCGAATCAGTTAGACAACTAGTAGTATTCTATCATCATCATTCCTGTTGGAAAGTGTTTGTGACAAACAGAACGAGCGTTTAGTCCTTCTTCTCTTCCTCCATCGACTTCTTGTTTTCCTCCTCCACCTTGTTTTCTTCCTCCTTGTTTTCCTCCTCCACCTTGTTTTCTTCCTCCTCCTTTTCTTCTTCCTTCTCTTTCTCTTTCTCCTTTTCTTTGTTTTCGTTTTCATTGCTATCTTTCAACGATTCCAACAACGCGTTATTCAACTACTCTTCATCCCCTCGCCTCATTCCTACGGCCTGCATATAGCTATCGTCCATCTTCACTTCATCATAATCCTGATACATCGTCTCCAAATCTTCAGGAATCGGCTCCGGCTTCCAATTCTCCGACGTTTGTTCCGATTCCTACGTCCCAACCACGCTCCATTTCTACAATCTGGTACGTTCGCAGCGATTCTTCCAAGGCTCGACGCAGTTCCGAGTCCATTTCCATATCCAGATCTACAGTCCACAGCGAGTGACGCATGTACCTTGCGATGACAACGGGGCCAGGAAATCGAGGAAGTTCTGGAAAGAAGAAACTTCGTAGAGGTGGCAGTTCCCGTCGATGTTCACTTTGGAAATGAAATCTTGGAGAATCGCGTGATTGTCGGTCATCTCACCAAACGATAGAATATCCACAGAAATAGAGTCTTTGGAGAGAAGGCGAGCCAATCTGAAGGTGAATTGTGATAATAAAAGGAACTTGGTGAGACGCTCGTCATTCTTTATCGGGCTTCCTACAAAGGCTATGATTCGCGTTTCTCCATTTGTGTTTTCTCTGTGCTTTAGAACTAACTAAGCGATTAGAGAGTTAACAAACACGCACCTGTGCCATGGCGAGTCCTCGGTATAAATCACACTCACCACCAGCTTCGACCTCCTTCATCGACGTTCCCAGTTTATATCGTTCGCGAGTCAAGGAAGTTCTCACAGTTACACTACACATCACAGGATCAATCAAAAGGAATACCTGCTCCCTCCCATTGTGATAATTCCCATCGTATTCTCTGGGTTCGAGTCAAGAAATCGGGGATAATAGTCATAAACTACAATTTGAACTGTAAAGCGAGTAATACTGGTATTAAGCTGTGCATCAAGGCGAGTTGGTCTGTGATCTCCATTTCTAGAATATGCGGAGTTGTCAACACTAACAAACTCAATAAGGATTCTAATTCCTACCAGAAAACGATATGTGCTAATCCGGACATGATATATTTACAACAGTAAGTACCGAATATATGTTATTTACGAACATATTCCTTAGTTTGCATAAACCGCGGTAATTCTGAAGAAGTCATCAAATCGTTGAAAGCATTCTTTTGCTTGCTGACTTATATGCAAAGAAAAGAGTATTAACGTTTGGATGAAAGGAATCAATTGTCATTCGAAATCATCGACTATTATTGAACTAGGGATAATAACAATAATAATGAAATAGAGAGGAAAAGAATTCGTGATTTTTTGCATTTGTGAGTATCTTTTCTACCATTGAGTATTTAACGATACAAATAGTATGTTAATGTATGTAACTGAATATAATCATTCAGAAAGAGTATCTTCAAGCATTATAGAGTGTGATTGCAACTAATAACAGTTTTAGAGCGTTCTGGAAACTAATTTGTGTTATTACAAATGCTTATAATGCATATTTCACTATTTACGCTCGAACCTTCAGCATTCGGTTGTCGAACAACTTTTCTACGGAATATTCATTTTATAGTGTGTGTATATATACAGTAATTGTGAACAATAGTTCATTTTCTGTCGATAGTTGATCGAAGTGGTTCCGTATTCTCAATATTACTACCATACTTGGATATTACGACAAACAACAATACAATTTGCCACTTAGATTACCTTTCTTTGTTTGTGTTTTTTCGATTTCATTAAATTGTTTCATATTTTATTTTTTTTAATTTCTTATGAGTATTGTAGTTCTTATCTTGCTGCTGATTCTTTGTATTGTCCTATGTATGGCTTTTCTCGATTACATGGGTTTTTTGAGGTATGATTTTACTTTCCTGTTAATCATAGGATACCAGAAGTAAAGGCAGGATATATTCAAGAGAATAATTACATGTTTGTTCTTTGTGCCTTTTTTTGAACTCTTAGTGTTTTTTCATTTCAGGGATCTCTTGCTGATTTAACTCGTTGTACAGAGTACGCGCTGATTGAGATTTCAAAGTCTTTGGGCAGACCTTACTATTTCCCAAAGATTATGTGTTGCTACCACCATATTGGTGAAGGGAGTGCTGCATTATGTATTTCAAATTGTTTCCTTGTAATCTAGCTTCTGTACGCATTTCTCTTCTATTTCCAATAAATGAAATTAAAGGCCTCTCCGAAAAGATCGCTAGCACTCCATCCCACAATCTTCAACTCTTTCACCTTCCTTCCTTACGCGTAGCATCGTACATTTGTTTTTCATTGTTTTTATCCCTAGTTCTTCTTTCCCTTATCGAAACGCTCTGAGCTACACCCTTGGACAGATTCGAATGTATTTCATTTTGAACCTTTGTGATGCAGATATCCGTTTATCATCCGCTTTGCAAAGCAGAACGGCATAACCAACACTTCAGTGGTAGTCGAAACATACGAGGCCGATAAATCGATTTTGTACAGTTTGGTATTGGAGAAAACCGAGCTTTTCAGTCCCTTTCAATCGATGCCAACAATCGATGCGCGTTCCTTTTAACCCATTTGTTTGGTTGTTTGATTCTGTTTGTGTTTACACAGTTGATTGCTTTTTACTCTCTGCGATTCCTTTTGGATTGCGCCTAATTTCGATAATGATTCTTTATTATTCCAACAAACAATCCAAAGAAGCACAAAAGAAAATGCAAAATATTATCGTTTGGAAGGTGGCATGGCGTTCTGTTAAGGTTCCTATTCTCTCTCATTCTTTCCACTTTCTTTTTTCTATTCTATTCTATTCTATTCTATTTTCTATTATTCTATTAAGGATATAAAAGCATTATTTCTCTTCATCGCAAACCCGTTCTGCACCGGCGTTCCCTGGTTATTCACCATCGAAAATGCACGATCCTGTCCTCCCTGCTTCGTCGACACCAATCGCATCGCTTCCTGGTTCCGAAGCGGCAATTCTCCCTGAAACTGCAGCGGAGGTTTCGACGTGGAAACCGTGGAAGTGATTCCGGACACGTCGCTGGTCGACTGCGCCTCCGCTTCGATCTTATCGAACTCTTCGATGTTCGAAAGCACGTCCAGCATGGACTGGGAAATCGACGAAGGCGCATCCATCGGGTTGGGATCCGCGTTTGCGTTCGAATTCGCAGCGATTTCCGTTGCGTAGAGCGGCGCTGCGGACTCATTTCCCTGCAGTTCACCCTGCAGTTCACTCTGATTGGATGGGTTGGATGGTGGATTGCTTAATGGGTTGGTTGGTGGATTGCTTAATGGGTTGGTTGGTGGGTTGGTTGGTGGATTGCTTGGTGGGTTGGTTTGGTTCGATTGGTTAGTTGGTACACTCGTTTGGTTGTCTTGTGGATTGGTTTGATTCGATTCGATGGGCGTGTGGGCGGATTTGATCTGCGTGTGCAGCGAAATGTCCATTTCCGAAGTGGATTTCACGGAAGGAGGACTCGCAGAGAGAGTGGCCACAACGTCCAGTCTAGAAAACAATCACGAGCAAACAAAAGAGAAAACGAATCGGGATGATTGGCAGAAGGAACCGACGATGAAACTGCCATCGAGGGGGAAAAGAGAGAACCGAACTGGCGAAAACACTTGCGTCGAGCATCCTTCACGGCATTCTATACTTGTTAAATTGCCAGCATAATCAACAAGTTTGGCTTCTTGCAAAGCGATTCCTTTCGAAATGTTCCTGCTTTCTGCAAAACCAAGACTCTCGTGGTAAGTTCCGTCTTTTAGAATAATCCGGACAATAGCCGTAACTCCAATATACCACAGGGCTAATTCTTGTTCGATGAAATCAACATGCAAGTTGATGATTCGGTCACTCCATCCGTTAAACCTATTCGATGACATACTTATCGACCACTCACTGAAAAACACTATTTGCTATATCACTAAATGCAGTTTCTGCTTCATCTCTACAAGATAACATATTCCACGATTTCTCACTTTGAACTGGACGACTTAGCATTCGAGAGAGGCTGAGATTCGCTAGAAAAGGAAGGTTGCAACAATTCCTGAATCCTCTCTCTCTCCTGCTTATCGAATGGAGCATTTCCAAAAATACTATTCCCAGTGTCCTCTTTGGTTGCACTGCTCATTTAGCTCCAATGCATAGGAAAATATGTACCGAAGACAAAACTAAAAATGGTGGCAACTCTTTTTTCCTTCGAACAAAGTGAGCAACCCCAAGCTCTACAAATGGGGATGATCAGAAAGGGAAACAACCATTTTCTAACTCATGCAGACTGTGTATACGCGCAGGGATTTGCAGTTGCCTAAAGATTTCTCTCTTTGTTTATTTTCTGTATCAAAATTCCGTAGACAAGTACTTTGTGGCATGGGTGTCTCATTTAGATTCTTGATAATCTCCACATTCATTATTTTGCTTCGAGAGCAGGAATCAACGAAAAGCAGATCCGTGATCCCGATCCGAAGGAACTTACAATGAAACTCGCTCAAGCAAAAATGGATGTTTTAGTTTATATCTTGCCTTATTTCCAGGCAGTTTTAAAGCGTTCTCACCATGCACACTCCATTATCGTTACTGCGGATCAGGTAGCATGGAAGAACGGGAAGATCTGTGAAAAACCAACCACGGAAGAGCAATGTCACGCCTATCTCAATAGTTACTGCAATTCCTATGTGGAACTCTACAGCGCAATTTGTGTATTCAATTCCGATACGGAAAAACGCTATACATGTTGTGATGTTTCGAGAGTGGAAGTAGTGTCTTATTCCCCTGCTAATAAAAAGTTTGCTGATATTCCCATGAGTGTACAAGATTATTTGATCGAAAAGGGAGATGTCTTCTACTCTTGCGGCGGAATTACTGTGGAAGACCCCAAGCTACAGCAGTGCATTACACATATCGACGAAATGGATCGCGTAGTACTCACTGCTTTCTTTTCAGTCTAGGTTATGGGACTGCCTCTTCAATGTATCCAACATGGTATCGATTTGACCAGTTTTTCTGTTTTCTTTGACAAAACAAAACAAAATATAACATAATATTATAAAACAAAATATAATATAATATAATAAAACAAAACAAACAAGCAAAAACAACATAAAAAGAACTACCATTAATCAGATGATGAATCTGTCGAGTCGGAAGATTCTGACTCGGAGTCTGTCTCCGCCGATCTTCTATACGACTTTGAATACACCCCCTTCGCCATCGCCGCTCTCAAATCCTTCGGCGGTTTAATCATCGCTTCATCATCCACAAAACTTCATTCAACCTCTCTTCCAACTCCTACTGCGATATAAGCTTGCGAAGCGGCATTTCCTCGTTGATATTGATCATTTTGAACTCTCTTTCGAAGAGAACGAATCGCTTGAAAGTCGTGTTTAAATGCGCTTCCGCGCCGATTCGCGTGAATTCCTATCGTCGATTCGCTTCGTCAGGACGTACAATGAGATGGTGATGGTACACATGAGCATACACTCGGAACAGTTTCTTGAAGATCGCACGACACATGGACATGAAGTTGTCGGGGAACACGCCTTGGTTGCATTGGTTGAACGGAGGCTTGCTAAACACGTCGGAGATGCTCTGGAAAAGCGTCAAAATGTACTCACGGGCACTCATCTGACGATTACGCGATGGAGAAGGGAAACTACCTGAACGGGACTGGAACCATTAAAGTCGGTCCAGTAGTACGAATAATGAGGACCTGCGGCCATTTCAGGGCAAGCTTCAGGGGTACAAACGTCGACCACACTAAACGAATCAAAAAGGGAGTGCAAAAGGTACGAATCGTACAGTAAATTCGTTGTTTCCACAAAATCCATTAGGTTTGAATAGATCCATCTACAACCTGAATCAACTGAATGGAAATGACTGCTCGAGTTGCACTCCGTCGGGGAGCATGACTTTCTGCTTTAGATCCACGTCACTATCAAGAGTGGTTGAGGTTAAACCGGCAATACCGTCATTGCTTGCAAAACTACGAGCTGAGGAGAGAACAGCGCATCCCACTCTAGCCTATTCCGCTGGTGTTGCCCCTTGTCGACATCCACTCCATCACCTTGTTCTCTCGATTTCGTGTGGATAAGAGACTTCGGGGGATGAACAGCTGTTGTTCAGAACGAGAAATCAAAGAATACCATCAGCAAGAGTGTTCTCTAAGTCAGCTACTTTTTCAGACTGATGCTTTTTCTCTTTCTTCTTCGACGACTCTGCAGCATTGTTCTTACTACATATTGACCCCATCGTCTTTGTTTTGCCCGAAAATCTTCTTTCCCCCGAATTTTGGAATTGCAAAAACAAACATTTCATTGGTAAATAAAAAACACTAATAGCACGATGATTGAGAACGCGTCATTCGTGATTCTCCATCATACAGCAGCTGCAATCTTGGCCACGGAACCGGAGTTTCCTTCACCAAAATAACATGTAATGTATAACCCTGCAATGAAAACCCAACCTGTTCAGGTAGAATAGTCTAAACGATCACACCCACTTCCTGCAAAATACGGCATAGAGAAGCGGAATCCTCAGCTTGAGAATGCAATCCGACACGACATGAATCTGTATAAAGAGCGATCGTTTTGTGCTGTCCACCCGCACATTTTCCGAATCCACGCACTCAATGCGGACATCCTGCACCGTCACTCTACCACTCATCCGCATGATCTTCCCTTACACGACCTGATCCTGCTTATCCTCCCAAATATAATCGCGAATCTCCTCGACGGACGCCATGGGATCCACATCCACACTATTCTTGTCGTCATCGTCAATCGTGGAATTGGGGATCACATTGAACTCGGTATTCTTCAGCGTGCTCAGCAGCGCCCCCACCGCCCCGCAGTAGCCCTCGTGCTCCAGGAACAGCGCCTTCACCGCGCCTGCGGACCAGTAGCGCATGGACATGGAGAGCAGATGCATGGCCGCTTGGTTGTGATGGAAGAAGTTCCCCGAGTAGATGATGCGCGTGATGCCGTACGCCTTCGCGTGCAGATTCGCCAGCGACCCGATATTGTTCGTGATCATGTGCAGGATCGACGCCAGCACGTCCGCTTGCGAGAACGCCGTGTCGTTGCCCTCGCGGCCCAGCTTCCCGAACGACGACGCCACCACGCTGCCCTTCAGGTTGAACTTGTCGTAGTTCCCGCCGTAGATGTCGCGCACCAGCATGTCCACGTTGCTCTTGTTGCCCTCCCCGGCCTGCTTCAGCGCCTCGTCGAAGCTCAGGCCGCCCGCCAGCAGGCGAGCCAGGCCGAAGAACGTGCCGCCGCCCATGGGGCAGCCGCCCACGCGCTCGCAGACGTTCTCGCTGGTCACTTTGAGAATGCTCACGCCGCTGCCGATGTTGACCAGGATGAACGGGTACACGCTTTGTTTCATCGGAATTACCACCTTCCGAGGCTGATTCCCCGAGTCGGAGGGAATGAACGTGTAGCACTCGTTCGGGTAGATTTCCTGAAGGAAGGTGATACCTCGGATCAAACTCTCCAGCTCGTCCGCCTTCTCGCAGGGACGACCCAGCAGATCTTCCAGAAGCGACTGGTATTTGTAGGCACCTCCTCCCGTAGCAGAGACAGAAAACAAAGAAGGGTTGAAAAGCTGATCCTTAACTAGAGAGAGACTATCCTAAACATAATCTCCGTTTTGCGAAGGATCTTACGGGAAAGTCCGTTGTCTGAAACTTTAGGAAGTGCATCGAACCATTCATTTTCTTGATCTTGATCTCGTATTTGGAGTCATCACCACTCTGGTCCGCCCTCCTCGAATTGTAAAGCTTTTGAAGTTTAATAAAGTCTGTCATTCGATCGACCTAGATATCATGCTTCGGAACGAAAAAAAACTTCTTGCTTGTGTTCCTGAACAACCGCCGGTTCAAAATAGACGCATTTCGTCAGCGTGCCTCCAATATCTATTCCGAATAAAGGGTTGGTTACGGTTTGGGAACTACAGAGTCAATCACGTTTTGGAATCCAACTTGTAGAGGTTGCTGTAACTGTAAACCTTTCTCACCCCCTCCTCTTCGTTGGTATATTCCATCCTATCCAGCGATGAATTGCCTAACGTAGAATTCTGTTCTGTCCTGGTAAAATTGAAAAATAACCGTTCAAGGCGTCTTACGTCTGATCCCTTATGCAATTTGCGCATTCCGTTTCTACCATCCGGAAGAATTGAGCCTGTTGGTTAGAGTTGTAACCTCCAATTTGTGACAGAAAATCAATTCTCTTTTTTGAACCCGTGAAGGATTTATGCAATATGTATGGATTTCCCACTGCTACAGTATTGCCTAGTAGATACCCAAGTTGTAGTAGGTAAATTGTCAAAATGCAAATCTTTATTCACGAACAAAATAAACTACAAAACAACTTAAAGCAGATTTAAAATTCATTATCGACCTCTTCCACGACCTCTTCCACGACCTCTTCCGGTAGTCTTTACACGAGCAGGGTTATTCTTTGGAGAATCGTCAACCAAGTAGGCATCCAAGTTGATGCTAAAAACTAAGAATTGGCCAACATTGGTACCTATCAGGCAAAATCACATATCGAATATTGCTTCCACGCACACTCATCGAATCTAGGGAAACAGGGTTTCTTCCTTTGATAGTCATCTTGACAGCCTTTAAATGCGTGTTCATCGCCACATCGACTCCTATTCATTACTCTTTCATTTCCAACCCGCACCCGTAATTGTTCCAACAATGATAGTGCCATTCTTGAGCTCAATGGTCACTGTCTCGTTTGAGAGCTTCATCAAGAATCTATCCATTACCGTCCATCAGCCAATTCAAAACCTGACGAGTTTCATTCCTAATTACGTAAGAATCACCCAATCTATTGATTTCAAGAGAGCATCCAAAATTCCCCCAATTTCTGCAATTCCAAAGTTTCATCGAACAAACACTTCCATAATGAACACGTTTAATCGTTCCAAATCCACCTTCTCTCTACACTTCATCCCCTTTTCTCGCTCTCACTCTTCTTCGGTTTCTGCTCTGCACTCTCTACTGCTCCCGTCTCCGCCATCGCCGTCGATGTCGACGTCGACGTCGCCATCGCCATCGCCATCGACGCCTCGGCCATAGGCGTGTTCTCCGCGTTTTCCAGCACAGACGACTGCGCCGGCGCTTCTCCCGCGCTGAGCTTCATCTCTACGTCCCACGCTCGCCCAACTCCGACCATACACAAGCGCTTGCCGCTTGAAAACCTGGAGATTGGCGCGCTCTCGCGACTGCAAAATGGGCACGATCACCTGCACGAAGCTCTCGTACAGCTCCAACGGCAGGCCGCCCAGCACCAACTCGGTCTTCTGCGTGTTGTCGAGCTGCGATGCAGAGCGAAGTCCGCGCCTACCTGGGTCATGAACTGATTCATCCACGCGATGGCTTGCTGGCGCGTCGACTCGTCGGTTGGCCACATGCCCAGCAGCGAGCTCACGCTCACGTCGTCCAGACCGTACCCCGGATTGTCGTACTGGCGCTCCTCCACGGTCCATTCGGACAGTTTCTAGAGAGCAGCCGCGCCCCATGCGAACCTCCAGAACGCGTTTCCGCTCTTCTTCCTGCTGCTTCGACGCGTCCACGTCCTCGAATTGCATCAAATGCTGCTCCAAACTCTTCGCTCGCTCGCTTTCCCGCGCCAGCGACTCCGCCAAGCCGCGCTCTCTCTCCGCTGCCGCCTCCGCAGCCGCCGCAGCCGCCGAATCCGCGTCCGATTCTGCATGAAACGAAAAGAAGAGAAAAGCCACTTTCCTTCTCCAATTGCTCGATTTTGGTGGTCAATCGCTGGATGTGCGCGTTGTTTTCCTCCTGGTCCTGCGATCAAAACCCGATCACGCGCCTACCGACACCTTGAACTCCACGCGCACTTTGACCAGCTCGTCGGAGAGCTCTTGGTTCGCGGCCTCCAAGGTCTGGATCGTGGATCCTACGCGCTAACCCGGCTTTTCTCTCTCGTTTCCCTACGAAGCGACGATTCCAGCTGGTTTCGCTCCTGCCGCACTCGCTCGTTTTCCTCGGTTAACTCGACAGCGTGCTTCTTGTGCTCCTCCTCGCTCGTCTTCTACCCATCAAAGCGGCCAGCCAAACTCACCCAGTCTTCCAGCATCTTCTGATACTTCGTCTCCATTTCCTTGACGACCGACTCGATTTGACGCATGTCGTTCTCGTAGCGAGCCACGAACTGCGAGTAGCCTTCGTTGAGAACCGCTAGATCGGTCTTGCGGGTGAATAAATCCTGCGAGAACGATTTGATCGAGGAGGAGATCGAGGCTGCGGTGCTTTTGATCGTCTTGGTCGCCTTTTCTTGAGCGAGTTTGAACTGAAGCGAGAGGTATTGCGAGCTGATCTGCGAGTTCTTCGCCTTTTCGACCTGGACGTTTACGTGGAAAACGAGAAAGGGCGTACCTCCAGTTCGTCGCGGAGAGAAGACAGAGAAGAATTCAATCGGACTTGCTCCTTGTCTTTATCTGCGAGCTGGTTTGTTAGGTTCGCAATTGTCTCCTTTAGCGTTTCGATCTCTTTTTGTTGTCCTGTGACAGAGCAGTTCACTACAGGTCAACTCCGTGATGGATCTGTACGTCTCTCAATTTCCTTGTCTTTGGAGCTGAGCTCGCGGTCAACGGAGGAGCGGTACCTAAAATTCACAGAACCTTGATATCCTACAGTGAAAAATTCTCAACGATCGTTCGGTTCCGCTTCTGTAACGCCTGCAAATCCATTTCCAAGGAAGCGCATTTTCCACCTAGGAATGAGAGTCGGCACGAATTCTGACAGGATAATTGCGGTTCTTCTGTTGGATTCTCTTCTCTAAGCATTTAGGAAGACAGAAAATACAGATTACGTGTGTGTCTCTACTGCTTGCTTTTCTTCCTGTAAAGGAGCAGCCTGCTCTGCAGGTTGGATCCCTTCCGAATTTTCTTCAGGATTCATTCAAACAAAAAAGAAGTGAGTTGAATTCCAACAAACACCCCGACACTGTTCTCAACTATAAAAATCTACAATTCGAAATTTACACATATCCGTTTTGTCTTTCTGAATCAGATTGGCAGTGAGTAGCAATTGGACTGCCTCACTATTCGCTTGTTCGGGCGTCAACGTCACAAACTTATCAGGCGACGTTTTGATAACTTTATTTATACAGTTCTGAAGGATCGTCAACACCTCCGTACTTAATCGCACGCTCTCTCCTTCACCCAGCTGGATCATTCGATCTCCGTAACACAGATTCAGCATAGATTTCACCTCGTTCACGAGAATCGCATTCGCCTTCTGCAGCCTCGCCGTGTTACGCGTGTAGGAATTCACTTCCGGCTCGTAAATCGAGGATTCGGATGTTAGCAGACTTTCTATCTGTTTCGAGTTTTCTTCGTTTTGGGCTTGGAATGCATCGCGAATGCTCTTGAGATCTTCGTTCAATTGCCTCAGTCTGAACTTCAAATTCACTCCCCATTCACTACTTGGCTTGGTCCTCGTCGCAAGATTCTATCAATCTCTCGTATGTATCAAGCGCTTCTTCCGCTTCTTTGGAAGATTGTTGCAGCTCATGATACAACATCATTTCCAACTCCTCGTTGCTCATTCGATCGAACCCCACTAAAATAACAATTTCTACCAAATTTTACATCGCTTTCTCACAGGTTCGCGGCTTTCTGAAGTGATGATGCGTATCTCTGCTTCGAGCATTGCTTTGTAATCTTGTTCGGGATTCGCTATATGAAACAATGCCAACAATCACAACGATTTAGATATTTCTCCTTGTCTGCCATGAGCTGTGCCTCTGCCTAGAAATCATGCTGAGCCATCAGAGAACATACCTCGATGATATCATTTTGAATTGTTCCAAAATTGAGTGGCATAGAAAGAAAAACTCTACAACTCTGCACTCTTTTGTTTCGTAGTTTGCTCTCCAATGAAAACACTGGCTCAGCGATCCCTAGCGGCAGTTCGAAAGGTGAATAAAAACTGGAAGGTGAGTATTTGTGCTGAACCGATGATGGAGTTAATTCGATGCATGGACATGAATAATTCGGACACTACACTTTGCAGAGAGGCGATCCGAATCATGGAGCTTTGTACCTCGGGAGCTATCGTGAGAAGAGCTTTCTATTTTGTTTATTTTGTAGATGCAAACTAGTAAGATGACCGATCACGTTTATTCCAATCCCGCTTTGCTGAATGAGTTATTGCGTCGTGCAAAGTGATTTCCTTTATGCATTTTCAGTGTATTTGTCTGTTTGTTAGGAGTAATGCGATTTCAATGAATTACTGGGAGGGTAGTCTTACATTTTCCTTCATTCCCACTCCTTTCTTTCGGTTTTGAGGATTTCATGAAGTTGCAAACAATCAAATCTATTCTATTGGTCTTTTTGACGTGTCTCACCGTAGTTCAAGTGACTGTGATGCGTTACAGTCGTATTGTGAACACCCAAAAGTAGGAGAGGAGCTCCATTATTTTTGATAGGTATATCACTTCCACCACTGTGATTCTCTCTGAAGGGCTAAAAGTCGTTTGCTGCTGCATTTTCTACTGTATGGAGGAGGGCTTCGTTCGAGGGATGAAGGTAATTGCGGAGTTCTCTCTTGACTGAAGATCATCATCCAAGAAGTGTTCTTAAAGTGGAAAAACACGCTGCTGCTATTTGTTCCCGCCTTTCTATACGCGGTGCAAAACAATCTCCTCCTCGTAGCCATCACCCATCTCGATTCTGCAGTTTACTCTGTTACCTACCAGATGAAGATTCTTACAACCGCCCTCTTCTCCGTTTTCCTTCTCCACAAAAAGCTTACTCTCCGTCAGTGGATCGCTTTGATCATTATCGTGCCGGGTGTGGGATTAGTGGAGCTGAGCAGCAAATCCGCCACCGCGAAAGTGAGCACCACCGAACAGAACCCGCTTCTAGGCTTCCTCTGCATCGTGATCTGCTCTCTGACGAGCGGTTTTGCGGGCGTTTTCTTCGAAATGGTGCTGAAGGGAAAGAAGAAAAACAACATTTGGATTCAGAGCATTCAGCTCTGCCTGGCGACTTGCTTCTTCTGCTGTCTGAATGCAGCCACGACGGATCTGCCTCGAATTCGATCCGAGGGATTCTTTGTGGGCTACAATAAGTGGACATGGATCACGATTATGTTGAATGTGCATTTGCGGCTGTGGGATGAGGAGTAGGGATTTTCCGGAGTGCTCATCGCCGCCGTTGTGAATTATACAGATAATATTGTAAAGGGATTGTCGAATTGCTTATCCATGGTGTTGTCCTGCATTGATATCCTTTCGATTTGAACAGAATGTGACTTAACGCCCACTCTCTAAGGTGGTGTTCAACTTCTCCCTGAGTTCAACGTTTGTGCTTGGTGCTATTCTCGTGTTGATTTCTCTTTTGATGTACAACTTTAACGGCTTCGTTCAGAAGAGTGAAAAGGTTTACTAGTGTTTGTAGCACAAACAGCTGTTATAGTCTAAATCCAGATAATGTATTTACTTTTTCTTTTTCTATACGCAAGAACTAGCATGTCAATTTCAAGCAAAAACTTACATAGGTCGATTTCTTGAGACTGTCACACACTTGCTCCATCACTGGAGGCGAACTGCAGAATTGAAGGAAAAATATCGGTCCATCCTCGTACCGTTTTGAAATAGCCTTTGAATACATGGGATAACTAGAAAACGTCATATTTCCTAATCAATAGGTACATAAACGCCTGGTCTCCGCAATTATACACTCTCTGAAATACTCCTCCGTTTTTGATTACATATTTCGCGCTTTCCACGAATTTGTTAAATATCGAAGCCACGGCTAGGTCATTCCTAGCAAGAAGCATTACGCGATAAAATGGCATCCTTTAGAGCTTCAATTGGGAAAAAGAAACCGATATTGGGACAATTTGAAGTCGACCTGTCCTTATTGTGGTTTTCTCAACAAAGACTTGGCCTTATCGAATTCTTTTTGGCTTTTTTGCTTGCTTTTTCATGCAGCCCATTATTGGAAGTCGTTGTTTCCATGTACTCAGTCGTCTTCCCATGATATCGGCAGTAGTCCCCAGGCGGTCGATTCTTGACAAGTACCAACTCCAAAAAGTAAATCGGTTCAAGTCGCAGCAAAGATTACAGAGTAGTCGCCAAAGTGTTGTTCGTAATGAATAGAAAGAGAAGAGGAGAAGTATCAACGCGATTTGGAACGTGCAATCGTTCGTCACACACGAGCGAACCAAGAATGGGAAGACGAGATTGAAAATATAAAAATCGAGATATTCAACAAATATAAAAATAAAGTAGACGATATGCATCCATTTCTTGTCGATGATTATCGAATGGAACTCGTAAGGGAAATGAAGCGTATCAATGAGTTCTACCGTCCTTTAGTCCGCAAGGAAGCCGATGTTTTGAGAAAGAAGCGCGAGCTTGGTTTGGTTCACATCGAGCCAGAACCATTTGTTCTGGAAGGATTAGACGAGATTATTCCACAAATCAACAGTTTAATCAAAAACAAAGCCCCGAAGAAGCTGGAATCGTCGAAGGAGCCTTCTTCGAAGAAAGTCCCCAAGTTGTTAGAATAATAGTTCTTCAGTCAGTGACTTACTCACTCAGTTCCTTACTCACTCACTCAGTTCGTCCCTCTCATCATCTCCCTGTTTACAACAAACACATCGAAACTAGTCAATACACCAACAAATACTACAGACCAAGACTGCTCAGTCCAGGAAAGCCAGTCTTGTTCGCTGCCTTGGCTTCGGTTTCCATCTTATCTTGAGCAGTACACACACGCAGAATCTCGCGCTTATTCGTCTCCATCACTCTGCCACCGATGCAGAGCTCGTTCAGAACGTGATAAGCCTTGTCATAGTGGAAAATAATATCCAACTCGCACACCTACACGTCACACGCGACAGATACACCGACATTGCCATAATACTGATCCAGGACTTCGACGAAGTGTTGAATGAATTCCAGAGCCATAAGCTCGTTTTCGTCCTTGTCGATCGAGATGATGAAATATAAAGAAGCAAATCTACAGTTTAACCGAAACAGTCGAGCCGTGCCTCTTAAAAACGATCTTTGAGTCCTTCTGTTCAATGTAGTTACAGTAGCGAGCGGGTCTTGACAGTACCTGGTTAATGGCGTTACGGGTTGTACTTTGGATTTCCTGGTATGTTATTCGTATTCACCACAGCATACTCTAGGAGATGCCCCATTATAAAACTGCTGCAGACGGATCTTTCCCTGACGGCTAACAAGCAATACCCATTGAATCTACAAATAGATAAAATTGGAAAATTGCAAACCATGATCCTAGACTATAATAAATTTCCAAATCTGTTGAACAGAAGAAAATAGATTAATTCCCAATTTCGGGTCGATTTTGATAAATAACCGAAAAAAAGGTTAGATTTTGGGATTCCTTTTACACACAACGATATTTTGATAATATTCAATGAAACGGCAGAGAACAGAAGGGCAGCTGGATACACAGTGCGTGCAAGATGTATTGTCTTTGACTTGGAATTGAGTTTGTAGAGTGCTTCCTCTGCTCTGGAGAAAGAATATAGGAGTCAAATCGAGTCATATAAAACAGCGGAAAGGCAAGCAAAAGAGAAGATGCGAGAGATGGAGTTATCCTTTCTGCAATTGCGTCAAGGATTAGAGGCTGCGTTAGAAGAAGAAAAATCAAAAGTAGATACGAGTAGGTGGTGTGATGTAGACTGCGGAACTGAAAATTCAACTTCTGACATTGCAAAGAGAGTTAGAACGGGAACGAAAACGAAATAGTGAGTCAATGGAAATGGCAGAACCGAGCGAAGGGAATCAAAGTGACAAACTCGTTCAAATTAGTAGTGAACCGAGCACTTGGAACGAAGCAAATGATAGCGAGTTGCGGTTGCTGCGAGAACATAAACTTCAGTATGAAGCGTACATCGCACAGGGTGGATTTGACTTTATCAACACCAAAGTTTTGCATGCCGTGGAGAATCCCTACGCCACCTGTTTGAAAAAGAAGAGTGTTGCAGAGCATCACACTCCTCCACCCACACTCTCCTCCAACTCTACCCAACCTTCTTCGCCAGACTCCTTGGTCGAGGAGATCGAAACGCTCAAGAAACGAATTCGACGAATGAACGAGCTGTTTACAGCGCAGACAAATCGATTTCGCGATGCTGTGTACCAACTGACCGGGTGGCATGTGGAAATGAGCACCCATGAAAACAAACTGAGGATCCGATCGCGCTATTCTCGGTCGGACGACGAATATCTAGAGCTTTTGTGGTAGGAATGACGAAGCCTTGTCATGGGTAGGACGGACACCAACAAATTTGAACTTTTGGAAACGCCTCTAGTGAATCGTTTAGATCCTCGTCTTTTTACCTATATTTCTGTGAGCAATTCCTTCCCTGGGTTTTTGAGCGCTGTCACACAAGACCTCTTTGAGAAGCAAGAGGTTCGCTCTATGTAATAATAGTAGAATTCATTTTGCAAAAAGATGTTTTCTTGAACAAAGCAAAGAAAGAACCCCTAACAATTAATCTGACTTCTCCTTAATGCTGCGTTGCTTCATCCACATCCATCCGTAATAGGGAAGACCCAAAATATAAGGTGAGAGCTACATGTCACAAATGAAACACCATCCGTACGACAATCCAGAATCCTTCAATGTCTTTCCAGAACTTGGAGACGACATAGAGGGCAATCATGGTGATCGACAGAGCGAAATAGCTCCAAAAGATGATTTTGTAATTGTAGTCATCAGATGGAGTAAAGAAGGACGATAGGAAGGACATTACAAAACGTGTGCTGTCTTTTCTTCCAATATCATTTTTGAAATTCCAGAAATAGCTTCGAATTTCTGTGTAGGTTCCGATAGTTATTATTTGAGTTTAATTCCTCTAATTCGATGTAAGAGTGGAGTTTGCTCATCACATGCAGTAAATGACTACGTATCAGCAATTTCAGGAAGGAATCAGTTCCGATGAAATCGAGGAGAAATTGAAGTTTGTAAAGCAAACTACGCAAGTCGCAAAGGAACTAGGAAAGGCCGAGACCATTTCTTCGCTTCTGCCTTTCCTTCATGGTTAGTCCTTTGCCTCGACTGTCGAATCTAGATTGGTGTCCAGACAATGATGACGAGGCACTCACCGAGCTTGCGAAGGAGATCTATAATTTGCGAGAGCTGTTTACACCCGATGAAATGAAAAATGTCCTCCCCATTTTAAAGCACCTAGCCACAGCCGAAGAGGTCGTTGTTCGTGAAGCGGTACGGCCCGTAATTGGAGCTGATCTCTAGGCAGTCGAGAGCATTAACAAGATCGTGGAGGATATGTCTCCGGAAGTGGTCCGCGACGAGATGGTGGTTGTAATCGAGGAGCTCTTCCACGACGAGTGGTTCACTCCGCGTGTGTCCTCGGTCTCCCTCATCGCCCGCGCCTACAGCAAGATCGCCAGTCTGCCGGCTTCTGACGCGGAGCCCTCTCTCAAAACCCTCCGCGACGACTTCTTCGCCCTTTGCAAGGACGACACTCCGATGGTCCGCCGTGCTGCCGCGAAAAACATGCCGTCGATCTACGCGGTCTGCGCCGACTCGTTCAGCGGCGCCTTCGTCGCGCAGTTCGCCGAGTTCTTCGCGGCCGACGACGTTTTCTCCTCAGCACTCCTCTGAACCGCAGGACACGCCCAAGCTGACGCTGATGAGCTTCACGAAGGAGCTGCTGCAGCGCGTGACCGAGGAGGCGGATCGCACGAAGGTGCTGGACATCTTCCGCAGCAACCTGGGCGCGCGTTCCTACAAACTCCGCGAGGCCTCCGCGCTGGAAGTGGGCGCCATCGCGGCGATCCTGAAGACGGAGAAGTTCAGCGAGCTGCTGCTGGAGCCGTACTTGGCGCTGTTCAAAGACAACTACATGGAGGTGCGGAAGAACGCGATCAAGCAGATCTCCGCGCTGGCGACGTGTCTTGAGCAGTCCGTCTTCCTCGAGAAGATCTTCACGTTTTTGGCGCCGCTGGCCGCGGAGACGAACCCCGTCATCACGTAACAATCCACGCAAGCGTGTCATCTAGCGAGCAAGTCGCGTCGGTGGTCGTGGATCTCTGCAAGCTCTTCCCCGAGAAGGTCAACCCGCTCTTCGAGCTGCTGCTGAAGTCTCCAGCGCCGCAGGTGCGTCTGCTGATTCTCCGCCGCTTGGACGAGGTGGCGCTGAACGAAAACCTGGTGAACAGCGTGGTGCTGACGGAGAATCTGGACGGTCCCGACTGGCGCGTGCGCGAAGAAGTGGCGAAGCACATGGCGTATTTGCTGGCTTCGACGCAGGGCACGCCGCAACTGGAGAAACTGATCGATATCGTAGCGATGGAGAGAGGGGGCGATGCGTAGTATCTGCAGCTGTTCGTGGATAAGGTGAGCAAGGTGCGAGAGACGTGCCGAGGCTCGCTGGCGACGATCATCACGAAGCTCGGCGCAGATTTCGCGTTTGATAATGTGCGAGCCGGGAGAGGAGGGAGTGACGGATAGGTGATCAAGCATCTGCAGAAGCAATACGTGGAGACGGAGAACTATCTGTGGAAGTTCAACATTCTGTACACGTTCGAAGTGGTCGTGAAGGAAGTCCCGACCGACGCGCGCGTGCCGCCGCTGATCGAGACGATCATGGACGAGATGGACGACAACGTGCCCAATCTGCGATTCATCAGCTGCCGCATTCTGAGCAATCTGAGCGATCTGCTGCCGGAGGACGTGAAGCAGAAGGTGGTGGAGAAGATGAAGCAGCAGATGGAGGACACGGATCGGGACGTACGGTACTATGCAGCGCTGGGATTAAAGGCTTTCAAGGCGATGTGAGCACATGTAGTTTTGTATTGTTTGCTTTTGTTCTCTCAAACACATAACACATCACGTTGAAACGCGAAGGGAAGCAGGCGCGAGGGACCCTGCTCTTCGTACATCTCGCGACTGATCGCCACGTTCGCGTATTGCTCGTTCGCCAGCAGCGCGCCGCCTCGCCAAGTGTCCCCGATCGGACTGCTCGTGACTCTCTCCCCGCTCACTCACTCGTTCATTTGAAACACGCGGAGCTCCTTCCCTGCTTCGATATACGGCGCGATTTCCTGCGTGGGGTTAAGAAAAAACACACAACTCGCTTGTGCGCTTGCCAGGATATTCAACGCGCGCTTTGAAGTTCGGAGTGCAGCTCGTTCCGCCGCTCAGCACCACATTCCGAGCGAGCAACTCGCGAATCCCCGGCGAAAACGCCTGCAGACAGGACCCAGCGCACTCGCCGATTCCCGACTGTCGAATCCCGATATCCGAGGGATGGAACAGCGCCTCCGGAACCATGAATCGCTCGTTCGTGAGCTGAAGCACCTGCTGGCTGGGATCGATTTTCTGTCCCGGTTTCTACGGTCAAAAAGGGGAAACGGGGAAACGAGTTCGTATCCAGTGGAGGAAATCACATAATCAGGGAGAACAAACACTTTTCTAGAGCGTGCGGGATGCTGCTTGCAGCTTTCGAGATCTAGATCGCACGGAAAGCAAAGCTCGACCTCGGAGCACGTCGAGCGATAGATAGCTGTACGCTTCTTTGATTTTATTCACCAAGTAGAAGCAATCCTGCACGTTCATCTGCCGAAACGAAAGCGTTTCTTTCAATAGATTCGTCAGCAGCTTGCCGCCCACATTCACACGGCGCACAGCGTCCAATACCACACTGCCATCGACGATTGGGATGATCTGCTGTGAAGGAGAGTTCGTAAAACCACGTGTGTGAACGAAAAGCCGCTTTCAATCACTAATCCAGTGCGCGTGTGACGATTGATATCGGTTGGGTCGAGGGTGGAAAGGTGCTTGGCAAAAGTCCAGGATGGAGCCGACGATGAGTAGAAGCCATTGAATCGGAAGTGCTCGAAAACGACTTGCAGAGTCGCTTTCTGGAGCTCATCCATGTTGAAGAGTGGCTGTGAGAGAAAGAGATTTGTATCTTGCGGTTCCTAGGATAAATTGCGACAAAAAGAACAATGCCATATTTAGATGTTGAGCGTTTAAGAGCTCATGCCATATTTTCGATTGATAATCCCAATTTACGATATATCCTCTATACGATTAGACCCAGCTGACCACATTTACTTTTCAATCGGACGATGATACATGATTTGAGAGTGATCAGAGACAGCATTCTCTGTTTCATCTCCAATCAGTTCGTGCAGCGATTTCTTAATCCTTCCCGTAGTGTTTGGAAGTATTCTACACGTCAGCGTTCCCTCATCGCAAAAACATCTGGGGATCTGCGTTTGTCGAGATTCCAGCCTTGATAGTGTATCCTCCATTATCAACTACGAGAATAGGCACTTCCATGAAGAGGATAAGAAAAACACTGAGTTTTGTACAACACTATTTGAAATACACACGAATTACATAATAAAAATTCAAACAAAAAGAGGTTTGGTAAGATACAAATTACTTTGCTTCTTCTTCTTTTACTACTACAACTTCTGCTGTTGCTTCTGGCTCTTCAGCCTTTTCCTCCACAACACATGGTTCCACCACTTCTTGCGTTTCTTTGGCTTTCTCCATCTTGACCTTGTACTCCTGGATACGTTCGGAAACCTTTTCATCATAAGGACGATCATAGTGCAATAATCCACTAAGAACCTGGTGCATGTACAAAACCGATCTCTAGTTGTTACATTTTCCATCCAGATGTACGTTCCACGTGCTGCAAATTGTAAATTTGGCCATTTCCAAATAGTCCTTCGACTCGGGAAGTGGAGCAATCTAGCTAAAACAACTCCATAAAGTACTACATCCTCTGAATACTCTGTGTTTCGCACGTTTCTGAGCAGCTGGTTGTGAATACGGTTGTTCTACGCATTAGGACAAAATAGCTGTAGCCCACTCGGAAGGTGAGCTGGTCCGAGAGAGTGACATATCCTAATCCAGCCAAACCTACTCCAGCCAAAAAGGACAGCGTTTTGTGAATAATAGCAAAACCCCTATGGTTTAAAAGTTCCATCGAGCAATTCCTACATATTCTCTAAAGCAAAACTAGCAAAAGGCACGAAAATGATCAGAAAAAACAATTCGGCGTTATTTGGGAATTCCAACAAACAGCTGCAAAATCATTTTTCGAACAGAATAGGGGGAATGAAATAGCTGGCATCTTCTTTCTTGACGGAAACACCGAAAGGAAGCTCTCCGCTGTCAGCCATAACCACTCTACTAAATGTGAGGAGAACATGGCGTTTTGCTACCATTTCGTCATGCCTTTTTTTGAGCCGCATTGTTCCATCATATATACAACATCCATTCCTTCTAGCACAGTACCAAAGGCCACGAGCTTCTTATCCAGATATGCGACATTCGCCTAGAAGTGAAACCGAAGAACCAAAGGCAACAAGTGTGATATAGAATTCCGCTGCGTTTCTGTTTTTGCCTAAATTCGCCATAGCCACAATCCCCGGACGATTCTGAGAAACAACAAAGGGGTCATTATCAAACATCTTTCCATAGATACCAACTCCAACATGACCCTAGTTTCTGAAATTGGAACACACAATAGATACTCCCTGAACGATAAATCCGGGGATAATACGCTGAAATCGACTTCCCTTATAAGTCATCGGTATTTTTTTCTTCGGAGAAGCATAGTATTCTCCAGTGCACAGACCGCGAAAGTTCTCTGTGGCTAGCGGAGCAACTTCTCCATATCTAAAACTGAGATCACCAAAAATCGACAAACAATCCAATAACAATTCTACCGACGGGCATACCATCAATTTCAATGTCCAAAAATGTTTTTGCAGTAATTGTGAAGTTCTTCAGTTAACAGCGTATTTAAGATCCCACCTGCGGAGTAGCCCTGACTATAGCTAGCAACCCCAGCAAAGTCAGGAAGTAAGACAACATGTGTAAAACAAAAATGACAATCTACCTTCAGTGAACCATAAATCTTCATCGTGAACCAGAAACATGCATAGAATCCAATGGTTCCACAAGCCAAAAAAAGAGCGATACACGCCATCATCATCAAGCACAAGTACAAAATCACTACTCAGCACGCACCCGCAGCGCCTACCCGACACAATCTTCGTAATTCCATGACTGAGCATGTAAAAGAGAGAGAACGCGAAGACGAAGAGCGCAGTACACCCGGTATTCACGAACGATCGCCACCACCATCGGTAATCTTCGCTGGCCAGCTGGAAATAGCAGAGCACGATCGCGATCTCCGCCGTCGTGATCAGCATCAGCACGAAGATGGCGAGCAGGAACCCGAACACCACGTACATCTGGTGGGACATGACGGAGGACATGAGGAAATAGACCTCGAGGAAGATGGCTCCGAAGGGGATGCAGCCGCCCACGAAGCAGGTGAGCCAGGGACGCAGATACCACGGCTGCGTGGGGATCTGTCGCTCGATGTGGTTGGTGCGGACGGGCATGTGATACTTGGAGAGACGGTAGCCGAGAAGCGAGCCGAGGTAGACGAGAGGAAGGGACACGCAGAACCAGAGCAGGATCAGCTTGAGGATGGAGGCTGGATGAGAGAGAAGGAGCGAAACCGACTGAGGTGGATGAATTGGGGCGAGCCGACGAAGAACCACATGATGTTCATGACCAGCGTGACGCCGGCGATGGTGGCGGGGAGCAGCACGCCCACGAAGATGATCACGGAGCGACGCTTCTTGCCTCCGAAGTAGAGATTGAGGCGAGAGGAGGAATAGCCCGCGACGAAGCCCATGAAGACGAAGAGAATCACTGCCGCGGTCATGATGCTGCCGCGGTATTTGGGCGACAAAACGCCGGCGGCGGCGAGAACGATGACCATGAGCATGGTGAAGAGGACTTGCGTCTAGAGATGAGGAGGGAGGAAGGGACCGACGCCCACGCCGACGAGCGATGCGAAGACGTCGGAGCCTTCGGGAGGACGGAAGACATCGCCGTGGATGAGCTTCCAGCCGCCTTCCTCGACGGTTTCGATTCGCTCGTCTTCGGTCTAGAGGGAAGCGAGTGAAGAGAGAGAGGAACGATGGAGTTGTACATGAGAATGTCACGCGAGAGGGTTCGGAGAATGATGATTCCGGCGATGGTCTGAGGGTGAAGCGACCCAGTCGAACGAACAGTGAGGAAGAGAGCCATGCAGAACGAGTTCATGAGGGAGAACCAGTGAGCTCCCTTCCCGCGCGCGTTCTTCAAGTAGATGTCCCAGCGAGAACCGTAGTCGATCTCGCTCGCTTCAAACTGCACGGTGTAGGTGAAGGTGACGGTGCAGGGAGTTTTCAGCATCATGAGCGCGTCCACACCGCGAGAAAGAAGCTTGCCGTCGTGCTCCACGTAGTCAATACTGGAAGGAGCAGCGTGCACGCCCACGATACGATAGCTGTTATCCTTGTTCTTGTGGTACAGAATCGTAAAGGCGATCTGAGTGTGAAAGAGAGAGGATTGGAGGGACGTGGTTGTAGATAACAGCGGCCTTGCTGTCCGCATCGATGAACCCAAGTGGGTGCGTGTCTTCGTACCAGAATTCGCTGTCGCTGGAGAACACAACGGACGCGGGCAAGTCATCCACCAGCCTAGATGGATTAAAAAAAATATATATATGATTCGAACCATTGCACGTTGTATTCATCACGAATTGCACTTGTCATCTTCTCAATATCGTCCTTGCTATACTCTTTCTTGCAGATAATCTGAGGGGATTCAATATCATCTAACATATTGAACGAATACAGGGTATTTGAGTATTCGTCTCCACTCAGAGCATTTCCGAGATTCTGATTCAAATGGTAAATATTGGCAGGGGCACACACTGGGAGAGAATAATAATCGAGGACAATTTGAGTCTTGGATGAGGTGATGGAGTTCACAAACACAGACACCTAATGACTATTCAGGTAAAGTAGAGTAATGTACTTGGTCATGTTCATTGTAGTCTTTCACATCTAGAATAGAAAAACCAAGACCAAGAGAAAATAGGGTACACACTCCTAACAAGGACGAAAGAAACATGGTAAAGTCGGCAATGAATGCTGGTGTCCCAAATAAACTTATGCAAATCAAGTAAACTAGTCGAAATAACCGCGGGATCCGATGGATTAACTGTAATGGCAAGATTGCTTTCACAGAGGGTGTAATTGTGTTATTTGCTATCTTGGAAATGCATAAGAAGGACGATCGAGCCCTCGTTGCTGCGAATTGATGGAATAAGGGTAATTGTTGATAATCAACAAACCACTAAACAAAGCATTGAATGGTTTTCTCATAGTTTTATTATCGGAAGGTAAGTAATTGCTCTAGACGTCTTTGGATCTACTCTGTGTGATGAAAACTTCTTTCCTTATTCGCTGGAGTCAGTTGTTGATGAAGGCGTTTGTGAAGGGTATGTCATAGTTACACTGACATGAGTGCATTGTTTGTGAACGATGAAGAATTCAAAAATACCATCTTTCGCCTGAGCGATGTTGATGACTCTCTTTTTATCGGAGTTCACTTATGTTGAAATACACATGCTAGACCCGACATTGATCCACCCAAGACATGATCGGTGTAGAACTGTGTAAAATAGACTGTGTACCTAGAGTTGATTGTTGTATTGTGCTTGCAATAATTGCTTAAATACTCATACATTGTAGTGTGCATAGGTTTTGAGGTTCGGTGAGTTTGCTCAGGAAGCAAGCGTATTTGTTTGTGTTATTATAAGTAGTTGTAAGGTTGTTTGTTGTTCTACACGAATTCCACCACACAATGAATGAAATAGGCTGTAATTGTCTGTACATGACATCGATCTGAATAATCGATACCACATCCCCGTGGATTCATGGATATCAAAAATCACTATACGTACAATAATCCATTTCTACATAAATAAAGGCATTTGAATAGTGAATATACTGCTAATCTAAAGAATGCCAGGAGAGCTTGAATTAGGTCAATCATACGAAACAATCGAGGATTTCCAAAGGTAGAAGTGTGGATTCCACATGACTCGATAGACAATGCTGGTGTCAAGTCAAGGGAGAAGACATCAAAAAGTGGAGAGAAACGATTCTCGTGTTGAAGAACAATATGTTGTTTTTATATAAAAATGATACGGTATCTATGCTAGGAAGCCATGAGGGAATAGGCAAAAACGCCTACGATGGTTATTGGCTTGGATAAGTGCTTGATTATGGTACCATTGCTTTATCAGCTTCATATCAGATCGCCCAGGAATATGATGGCCAGCAGAACGTGATTCAACTCAAAACCTTTACCGGACGTATCTTTTGTTTTGCTCTTCCTTTGTATTTGGTAAACCTGTGCCATGAGAAATAGAGAAGAGGATGCGGCAGAATGGATGAAGGATATGAAGGAAAGCGACTACACGAGCATTAAGGAAAAGGTGGTTTCATTAGAAAATGGATTGCAAGCAATCGGTCTTGCGCAGGTAGTTTCTGAGTGACTTTGCCTCATGGATGATAGGATGCCAAGGCGAAAGAAGATCGTGAGAACTTGGTGGCTCGGAATCGAATGGCTTCCGTGCGAAATCTTGGCTATTTGCTGGATGGCATGCGTGCTCGTCGCGTGCTGAGCCTTCTCTTCTTATGGAAAGAGCGCTGCAACGAAACGAAGCTGGAGGAGAATTGTGAGGCGCGAGTTCGAGATGCTGAAAGTCGTTCTGCTGCTTCATTGAATGAATTGACGTCTCGCGTCCAGTCGCTGACCGAAGAAGCCGAAAAGAAGGAAGAGGAGCATCGAGCCACGCTGTATAAAGCGCGATCCGATGCCTCGCTGCGCGCTATTGAGAGTATGTTGGCTTTGCAGCGCAGAGCCAAGCTGGAACAGGCATTCGTGCAGTGGATGCGCTTGTCGAAGCAGGAACAATTCGCTGAGAAAGCAACGGCGTGTGAGAAGCAGTTAACGGAAGCCAATACTGCGATTGAGAGAGTTTTTGTGTTTCACAGCGATGATTTGTAGACAGAATCGGAGTTGAAGGAAGCTCGCGAGAAGGCTGAAAACGAAGTAAGAAAGGAAAGGAAGAAAAGTGAGGCATAGAAAGCCGAGTTGGAGAAGAAATACCAGCAGGATATGCGAGATTATGAAGATCTTCGGATGGAGAGCGCGAAGACGCGATCTGCGTTGGAATCGTTGCTCCAGGACAAAGAAGCGGCGGAGGAACGAAATCGCCAGCTGGCCAAGCAGATCGAGCAGTTGGGTCTTTCGATGGCGACGTTCCAAGAAGCGGCGAACGGCTCGGAGGACGATAAGCAAGCGATTGTAGCGCGCTTGCAGCTGCAAGTGAACGATCTGGAGAATCGTCTTGCGCAAAGCCAGAAAGACGAGGAGGAATATCGCCGAAAATGGGAATTGCTGCAGGACTTTTCGGCAGACGAATTGACGCGCGCTCAAAAGAAGATCGACGAGTTAACCGCGACGTGCTCGGAATTGATCAAGCAAGTGGAGGACGCGAATAATCAGGAGCATATGATGGCGCTCGTGCAGGAGAAAGAGCAGCTGGAATCGAAGATCCACGAGATGGAGATTCAATTCGAAGCCACTGTGGATGTTGTGAACAACAGCAGCCAGATTGCAGTGCAGCGAGAAAACCAGATCGATGATTTGAAGGGCAAGATCGCCGGACTGGAGAAGAAGCTGGAGGAAGTGACACAACAGAAGGAGGCATTGGAGAAAGCGCTGGAAGAAGCGCAGCAGAAGCAGGTCGAAAGCGATGCAACGATTTCAGGAATGGAGAAATCGAACACGGCGCTCAAAGAAGAAGTGATGAAGATGAAACGCCGCGTGTTGGCACTGAAGAACATGGAGGAAAATATGCAGGATGTGGAGGATTTGCTGCAGCAGCGCGAAACGCAACTGAAGGATGTGCTGGAGCGGATTAAGAAGGCAGAGAAGACGAGCGAGTTCTGCCGGAGCGAAGTGAAGCGATACGAGGCGCTGAACGCGGAACTGGAGCATCGTATGTCGAATTATCTTTTCCGAGAAGGCCAGGCAGGCGAGGTGCTGGAAAAGATCGTGGAGAAGCAGGTGGATCGTCCGGAAACGCTGGAGAAGGTGAGCGAGTTGGAGAAGACCGTGGAGTCGCTGCGAGAGGAAATCGTGAGATTGGAGAATACGCTGAAGCAGAAGACTGACGAAGAAGCCAGGCAGAAGCAGGCGCATGAGGCGTTCAAGCTGAAGAAGGTGCTTCCGTTGAAGTTCTTCCCGATGTATCCTTCGTTGCGTCCTGTGGATGAAGAGACGGAGGTGATGCATGGAATTGAAACTCGAATCCAAGTGGAAACGCTCCCGAAAAGCGAACAGGAAGAAGTGAAGATGTTTGTGGGTAGAAACCCGGATGTTGTGAAGAGAGAAGAAGAAGAGAGAAGAAGGAAGGAGGAGGAAGAGAGAAAGAAGAGAGAGGAGGAAGAGAGAAAGAAGAGAGAGGAGGAAGAGAGAAAGAAGAGAGAAGAAGAAGAGAGAAGACGGAAGGAGGAAGAGGAGAGAAAACGAAAAGAGGAAGAGGAGAGGAAGAAGAGAGAAGAGGAAGAAAGGAAGAAGAGAGAAGAGGAAGAAAGGAAGAAGAGAGAAGAGGAAGAAAGAAAGAAGAGAGAGGAGGAGGAGGAAGAAGAGAGAAGGCAGAAAGAGCTTCTTGCTGCCCAATCCGCTCCAGAACCAGCACAAAGGCCGCTTTCACCGAATCCTTTTGACCAGGAGAGCGAAGAAGAAGAAAAGCCTTCATCATCCAATCCCTTCGATGCTCCCGCTGAGCGACCTCATTCTCCCAATCCATTCGACGATGCTAGTGAAGAAGAGGAGACAGCACAACCTTCGCTTCCTCCGCTCAATCTCCCTGAACAGCCCCGTTCACCGAATCCTTTTGATAATGCGAGTGAAGAAGAAGCAGAAGAAGAAGAACCCCATTCTCCCAATCCCTTCGATGCTCCCGCTGAGAAGCCCTATTCTCCGAATCCATTTGACCAGGAGAGCGAAGAGGAGGAAGAGGAACCCCCAAAGCCTTCGTCTCCCAATCCCTTCGATGATGTGGAACAGCCAAAACCTTCATCGCCCAATCCCTTCGATGCTCCCGTTGAGCGACCTCATTCTCCCAATCCTTTTGACCAAGAGAGCGAAGAAGAAGAAGAAACAGCAAAGCCGTCGCTTCCTCCGCTCAATCTCCCTGAACAGCCCCGTTCACCGAATCCTTTTGATAATGCGAGTGAAGAAGAAGAAGAAACAAAGGCGGCTTCTCCTAATCCGTTTGATATGCCCACTCAGACCTCCGCTCCATCGAATCTGTTTGACTTTGCAGAGCCGGCAAAGCCCGCATCTCCCAATCCTTTTGACCAGGAGAGCGAAGAAGAAGAAGAAGAAGAAAAGCCTGCGTCGCCCAATCCCTTCGACAATCCGCAGCCAGAACCGATCGCTCCATCGAACATGTTCGATTTCGCAAGCCAGCAGAAGCCTGCTTCTCCCGTGTCCTCTTCGAACATGTTCGATTTCGCGAGCCAGCAACCCGCTGCTCCATCGAATCTGTTTGACTTCGCAGAGCCGGCAAAGCCCGCATCTCCCAATCCCTTCGATCAGAACAGCGAAGAAGAAGAAGAAAAAGAAGAAAAGCCTGCGTCTTCCAACCCCTTCGCCGAGCCTCTACATTCCGACGTCCCGGCAGCGAGTCCGCCAGCCTCCACACAGCCCCAATCCTTCGATTTCTTCGAGAATGCTTCTACTCAGACTTCACAAACGGACATGTTCGCCACCGCTCCTACAGACTTCGCTTCGTTTGCACAAGAGCCTACATCACAAGAGCCTCTGGACTCTTCTTTCTCTGCAGCAGCTCCATCCGAACCGGCGCTCGCAGAACCAACCTACGATCTTTCGTTCCTCTCCGACTCCAAGCCGAAAGAAGAAGAGCCGAAAGAGAAGAAATCGCTGTGGAAATCCTTTAAGACTCGCCAGAAGAAGAACGACGACGTGATTATCGAAGGAGTGAGCGAAGAGCCCAAGAAGAAGTGGGGCCTGAGCGATAAACAGAAAGGAACACTGAAGAGCGGAATGGGCAAGTTCTCGAATCTCTTGAAAACGGCAGCTGTGAAGGGCCAGCAAGCGTTCAAGTCGCACAACGAGGAGCCTGCGGAGTTTCCGGAGTTCGATGTAGGTAAAACTAAAATCGATTTGAATGAAGGCGCTCGAGTTGGTCCAGGGAATGAAAGCGAAGCCTGTCGAGTTCTTCTTCTCGAATTGGCATGGAGACGGCAAGCTGAAAGAGTCGTTCCATGAATGGGTTCGTGGAATGGTAGAGAACGAGCCAGTCTCGCAGGCGCACATCAGCGGATTTACCATCGAGAATGCTTCGCCGTTTGTGGAGCAGGCGGTGCGGACTTGCATCGTTCCGCTGCTGAATATGCGCGAGTCGATTGCAGTGGATTTCGTGGAGATGCCGGACAAAGAGAACAGCTTTACTCTACAACTGAAGATACATGAAAAGAGCGGTGTGATGGACGATTTCCTATCAGGATTCTAGAGTTCTTTGTCAAATCAAACACAAAACTCACAACTAACAAACCATTAAACCATTGTTTCCAACTCTTCAATAACCTCTCTCGATTCTCTCCCGACTTGATGACATTCCGACAATTCATTTCGTAAATTATTCACCGTTGATTGAAGTGATCGCATCTGTTCTCTAAGCTTCGCGTTCTCTTCACTCAATTCTGTTCGTTCTCGATCCAGTACATCGACTTTCTCCTTTAGTTTCTCTACCAACGTTGCAAGATTCACATCGTTCGCCTTCCTCGTTTCCACCCATTCTCTGTGAATCACTCGGCTTCACTTGCTCCCTACAATACCATCTTCAGCACATCCCTTTCTTCGATCGATTCACTCCACGACATTTCACTTCGTTCACTGCAAATCGAATATCGAGGAATATACGAATTTACAGACAGCGAATCTGAAAAGCTTGGAATCAAAACGCCGCGAGCAGCCGATGCCACTCGAATCGAACTGATCGTTTCTCGCTACTAATAAGTAGGTAATGACGTCTCGACCACACAACACTTCGCAGGAGACATACAAAACAACATGTGAGTATTCGAGGACCTATCAAAGATTGGCTGCATCAGCTTCGTCAGTTTTGAATCGCGAAATCCGGAGCGGGTCATCGCTTTATCCCACGACACACGACCTCTCAAAACCCGATACATCGACGAAAGACCTAAATTGATCTTTCTAGACTCATCTAAGAACTCTCCGGAAGTTCCTCGTGTGTGCTGCGCGCCTGCAAGATCTACAACACGAAGAACGCTCCAGATAGCATCGTTTTGCATAATGAAAAGTGAAAAAAGAACATGTGACCGACTGGACTTCGGACTCCAGTCGGTGGCCAACGTATGGCGAGTATGAAGGGCACGGGAGAATATCTAGAAGAAAATGATTACTAATAACAATAAACAAACTTTGGTAAAATCAGAAAAATGAGAAAATGAAATCTGTTTGGAGTTCACGAAAAACAAGTGATCAGTGCTTTCACGAATAGATAGGACAGCGTGCTTCTCAAGAAGATCAAGTACCGTCTCCTTATATACCTCAACAAGAGAAAAAGATAGAGAAAACTATTTCACATTAACACCACAGAACCATACTTTTTGCTTAAGCAACTCATATACAAGGAGAAAAACAATTCCTGAACTAGTATCATCTCCAAAAAGGCTATAAGTCATACCGGAAGCAGTATAGCCATAGCTAACTAAAGAAGCTAAAATAACATAAAGAGATAAATAAAAACCATTCTGTCCACAGACTAAAGAATCAATCAGTGGTACACAAATGGAATTATACACATCTTCCGTCGTCGCATCCATCCATAAAAGTGAATCTAGTGAATAATCAAACAAAAAACAACCAAACCAAAGAAAAACGTTGAGCTTGGGATTTCACCTGGTTTATCATCTAATAATGTAATCGAGTTATATTCCTTATTAAAACTCCACGCAAGAGAACGATTGTTGGATATCTGACACTCAACTTCCCAAACCACGTCTCACTTCGTTTTCATTCAATGGTCTGACTCTCACTGTCACATGCATTCGAAACCCTTGATCCTCATTCATACAATTCAACAATCTGAAAAAACTGTTCCGTTTTTTGGACTTTCTTTTTTTTGAAAAGGATAATAAGGAGGAGTATATTCTATTTGATAAGCCTGAAAGAGCCATCAAATAGAATATACACGGAAAGAAGCGAATAAATCGGGCACTCATGTTCATTATAATCATGGGGAGGTTTCAAGCTTTTGCTATTCTGTATTGTAAGGAGTCTATACAAATATAACCTTGGATTATTAGTATATGGTAATAATGATGAGCACTAAAATGTAAATGTAGTGTAATGAGTAATGGAGGTAGTCTTAATTCATCATTATTTTCGTTGACAGAAATGATGTGCGAGAGTAATTCAATAGCACGTGCCTTTTATCTCAAGTAATGTATTGGTATGGACAAAAAGGTAATATATGCTTTGCTTTTCTAATAAAAGAGAACAATGGTGATTGTAAAGGTAGAATAGGTCATTAGTCATTGATAGGGCTACATTGTAGTATTAAGTTCTAGAAAACTGCAAAGAACATTCCAAAACTATGCAATCCATTGTGTGTAATAATTCAACATAGATCTGTGTATGCTCTTTTTCTTTTACATTTCAATTCCATAAATCGGCTGGGTACACATACAACTCAAAGAACCAAAGCATGCTTATTCGTACCCTCCTAAAGAGCAATATTAGAATAATACAGCTATATACAGTTTAGTTTCGAATAGAAAAATATATCAGAAAAAGAATAAGCAAGTGGAAGGTTAATTTCGTTGCGACGACATCACAGAAGAAGAAAATACTATATCGATGACTCTAACGACGCGAAAATCTCAAAAATATGGGTTCAAATAAAAAAGAAAGGAACTCAGCAGAGATTAGTGAGAACATACTAAAAAGGCCTTTAATAATGTACATGCAGCAGACTCTTATTTAATACCAAAAGCATTTTGACAACTGTGACAATATGACACACTATGTTCATCCTACTATAGAATTGTATTGATTATTTTAATTCTGGTAGTAATACTAAATCCAACCTATTGTCGAAATAATAGAATGGTTCAATATTAGATAAACAATATGCCAAAAAGAGCCATAATTTCATCTACATAGGAACACCAGTAACTTTCTTCATTACTCTTTTGAGATGTATAATCTTACATTCCATATATTGGTAATAACCAATATTAGTATAGTGAACCATTTGTAACTATTGCCTAATAGTACCAGAATTAGTTTGATACTATGTTAATTATATATGATAAACACAGCAAAATATCGAAATTTTATAGAAAAAGCGACTGTCGAAGACACAATGAAACAAATAAACAAATAGAGCCATAATAGACTATACTAATTGGACTCTATTAAGTACTGCACATTTTCAACACAGCCACCTGCTAAAGCATAAAAACACACAATTGCAGTAATCCACCCAGCAGAAACGACTTTCCAACTTTCTAATATATAATAATCGAGCCTAGAGTGAAATCTGGAATGCAAATGAAGTATTGTCAATAATTAACAATATGGATACAGCATCTAGGTAGCAATTATAATACGAAGTAGGAAACAGAAAAAAGGTCTACTTAGTGATGTCACGAATACGCAGTAAAACAACGATTTCCATTTGGTTTCGATGCTAAATATATAAAATGGAACAACAGAGTAAAGATCAAACTCATATCTCTGACACGATGATATTTGTGAAGGGATGATATACCAAGTTATTTACCCAAAACAACAATGGTAGATCGGATAAATCGAACGTATATTTTAACAGAGCGATAACGGAACAATACCTGTACGTGTATTTATGATTATTATATAATAGTGATTACACCATAAGTAGACTGATAACAACGCTTTTGTGTTTTCTTTGTATATTTTCTTAAGTTACAATGGAAACTAGTGACCAAGTCAATACAATTGTTTCTGGCATCGAAAATCTGCAATCTCAGAGGATTAATCACGTAGGCACAATACAACTACAAGAGGCTTCTGGTATCAGATTAGCCCAGAAAACTGATGAAGAAAGAAGCAACAAGAGTGAAAGAGGTGCTTGCTGGTCATATGATGTATCTGCCCAGTTTCCTGTTGATATAAGGAAAATAAGTGGTTCTCAAGAGATTGAAGTCAAAAAACCACACGAAGGCTACATTATAAAAACTACTATGAAGTGGCGGAAAATGAACGGAAAGGCAAGTATATATTCGGACAAGGGAGTACTAATAGCCACTCTAAGATTTAAAAATGGAATAGCTACTGGACCTTGCACTTTGTATGATTCTGATGGACTTTTGTTTTTCAAAGGATACTTTGAGAATGGATACCGCAATGGAAGAGGACAGGAATATGACAGAGAGGAACACCTGGTATTTGATGGTTTTTTTGAAAAAGGACAAAGACGAAACATAATACCATTTGCAGAAAAGAAGGGATACTGGAAAGAAATGGACGAGAATAACAACTTGATTCGAATATGTCAATTGGATAATGCAGGCAGGTGTGATGGTATATGCTATTCTTATCATGCAGGAAAGATCGACAGAGTAAGTCGATACAAAGAAGACAAAGAAATTGAAGTACTGAAACAATTCTTTAATAACCAAATGGTCGAATATGAGAATGGCGTCAAACGTTATGAAGGCAATTATATGGACTCAGTAGAACTTAATTATCCAAGACATGGAATAGGAGAAGAGTTTGAGAGTAATGGGAAGGTTCGAGCATTTAAGGGCAATTATCGAAACGGAAAACGTTATGGGAAAGGAATAACATACAAGCACGGGAAGGCAAATAAAGAAAGCAAGTGGGTTCACGGACATAACAAAAACACATTTTGGATTTATCCGACATTAACAATTATCGGCATACTACTACTGATAATAAGTTTGATCTATGACTTATTCGTTGGTACTTCCATTCTATTAGTCGTGTTGGTCATTCATGTTCTTCGTTGGATATTTACAAGTTGCTGTGGTGTCAAGAAATGTTCCTCTGCTACTCTAGACTGGATATCGGATCTATCAAGTGAAATGATTTCAAGCATAAATGGTAATGACAAAACATGTAAAGCAAAAACAAAAAGAGGCTGTGGTGCTGTACTAAGTAATATATATTTGAGTATGACAATACTATTTGTGGTCACCTCAGTAATTATCGTGACCTGTACAGTATTGTACAGCATGTTTGTTAACCCCTATATCAGTAAAGTCCAAACTAAATACATAATAAAACCAAATAACTACAATAGAGTAAAGCGTTTTGAACTCACAAACAAGCCATTTCTCGAAACAATAAAAATAGGAGATAACAGTTGTAGTAATGCTAAGACATTCAAAATCGATGGATTGACATCATTGACATCATTATCGATCGGATCAAATTCATTTACTCAACATCCCAATGGATTTGGTAATGATTCTTCTAAATCATTCCATATATTGAATTGCGATAATCTACAATCAATATCAATCGGTAAATATAGTTTCAGTGATTATAGTGGTGAATTTGAGTTATCGAATCTACCTGAACTACAATCGATATCAATTGGTAATATGAATTCAAATTCATACAATTTCTATTCGGCATCGCTTATAATTCGAGGTATTGAATTGATATATTGTGTTTTGCTAACATTATAGATTTACCGAAACTATCTATATTATCGATTGGAAATGGATCATTCACAAATTCGACAACATTCCAATTATCAAATTTGGATTCATTACAATCATTGAGTATCGGAAACAATTGTTTCGAACCATTAGCGATATTTTCAATCGATGGATTGACATCATTAACATCATTATCGATCGGATCAAATTCGTTTACTCAACATCCCAATGGATTTGGTAATGATTCTTCTAAATCATTCCATGTATTGAATTGCAATAAATTAGAATCAATATCAATCGGCGAATATAGTTTCAGTGATTATGGAGGTCAATTTGAGTTATCGAATCTACCTGAACTACAATCGATATCGATTGGTAATATGAATGTTACATCATACAATTTCTATTCGGCATCGCTTATAATTCGAGGTATTGAATTGATATATTGTGTTTTGCTAACATTATAGATTTACCGAAACTATCTACATTATCAATTGGAGATGGATCATTCACAAATTCGACAACATTCCAATTATCGAATTTGGATTCATTACAATCATTCGAATTGGGTAATGACATGTTCAATTTAGTCTCAACATTCCAAATCGATGGATTGACATCATTAACAACATTATCGATCGGATCAAATTCATTTACTCAACATCCCAATGGATTTGGTAATGATTCTTCTAAATCATTCCATGTATTGAATTGCAATAAATTAGAATCAATATCAATCGGCGAATATAGTTTCAGTGATTATAGTGGTGAATTTGAGTTATCGAATCTACCTGAACTACAATCGATATCAATTGGTAATGTGAATGTTACATCGTACAATTTCTATTCGGCATCGCTTATAATTCAAGGTATTGAATTGATATATTGTGTTTTGCTAACATTATAGATTTACCGAAACTATCTATATTATCAATTGGAAATGAATCATTCGGAAATTCGACAACATTCCAATTATCGAATTTGGATTCATTACAATCATTGAATATCGAGAACAACAAATTCAATTTAGTCTCAACATTCCAAATCGATGGATTGACATCATTGACATCATTATCGATCGGATCAAATTCATTTACTCAACATCCCAATGGATTTGGTAATGATTCTTCTAAATCATTCCATATATTGAATTGCAATAAATTAGAATCAATATCGATCGGCGAATATAGTTTCAGTGATTATGGAGGTGAATT